TTCAGCATTGTTTTATAGGTTTCAGTGTACATATCCTACACTTATTTTATTAAATTTATTATATGAAGTATTTTTATTCTTCATGCTACTAGAAATGGAATTGTTATGAATTTTATTTTTGATTGTTTATTATTAGTATGTAGAGTTACAGTTGATTTTTATATGTGGCTCTTGTGTCATATAACCTTGCTGAACTTATACTAGATTTGCTAGTATAAAATTAAGTGAAAGCGGTTGAGTTTGCAGTGTTTGCTTGGCAGTCAAGCAGCCAGTTAGGATGCCTACTTTCACATAGGAGTGTCTGGGTTTAATACCTGGCTCCGTCTTTTGACCCAGTTGCCTGCTAATGAAAACCAGTAGACAATAGTGATGGCTGAAGTAATTGGGTCCCTGCCACCCTCACAGGAGATTGAGTTCCTGGCTCATAGCTTTCTCTGCAGTTGCTGTTACAGGCATTTGGGGAGTGAGCTAGCAGATTAGAAGACTGGTCATACTCTGGTGCTGTGTGTGTATGTGTGTATGTCTCATTCTGTCTCAAAAAAATAAAATAAAAGTGGTTGAGTATAGGCATCGTTGTCTTGTTTCCTTTTTTTGTTTATATCGTTTTTTTTAAGATTTACTTATTTGCTTGAAAGACAGAGTTACAGAGGGGCAGAGGGAGAGAGAGAGAAAGAGAGAGAAAGGTCTTCCATCCGCTGGTTCACTCCCCAGATGGCTACAACGGTGGAACTGTGCCGATCTGAAGCCAGGAGCCAGAGGAGCTTCCTCTGGATCACCTACGAGGGTGTAAGGGCCCAAGGACTTGGACCATCTTCTATTGGTTTCCCAGGCCATAGCAGAGAGCTGGATCGGAAGTGGAGCAGCCGGGACTCAAACAATGCCCATATGGGATGCCGGCACTGCAGGCAGCGGCTTTACCCAGTACACCACAGCGCCGGCCCCTTGTTCCCTTTTTAGGTGGAAAGAATTCAAAGAATTCAGTCTTTCTCCATTAACTATGATATTTGTTTATGTTTTTCATACATGGTCTTTAACAGTTTGAAAAAGATTTTGAGGGTTTTGTTGTAAATGAGTGCTTGATTTTGTCAAACGCTTTTTCTGTGTCTACCAAGGCTATCATGTGGTTTTGTTTATATTTATCTTTATTTATATAGATTAATATATACTATGTGTTATATTAATCGATTTAAGGATATTAAACCAGCTTTGCATTCCATAAAGCCCATTTGATCATGATGTATCATCCTTAAGATGTTGCTGGGTTCAGTTTGCTGATTTTGTTACCTATATCCATGAGGGATATAGCTTGTAGTTCCTTTTCTTGTGATCCTGACTTTGGTATCAGGATAGTACCGGCTTCCACACACTGATTCAGGATGCATTCCCTTCTCCTCAGTTTAATGAGGAAGAGTTTGTGAAAAGTTAGTATTTTGTTTAAATATTGAATCCACCTGTGGGCCTAGGCTTTGCTTATAAGAAAATTTCGATTATTATTTTTTTCTTTTTAAATAAGTTGTTTAATTTGATCATTTTTAAGAGATTTATTTTATTTATTTGAAAAGCAGAATGACAGAGAAGGAGAGATAGAGAAATAGATATTCTGTTTGATTCACTCCCTACATGGTACAATGGCTAGGGCTGAGTCAGGCTGAAGCCAGGAGCCTGGAACTCCCATTCACGTCTCCCATGGGGGTGCAAGGGCTCTTGGGCCATCTTCCACTGCTTTCCCAGGCACATTAGCAGGGAGCTGGATCTGAAGCAGGGAAGCCAGGACTTGAACTGGCACTCTGATGTGAGATGCCAGCATCACAGGCCACAGCAGCTTAACCCTCCAATGGCCCCCACGGCTGGCGCATCGCACTGATCTGAAGCCAGGAGCCAGGTGCTTCTCCTGGTCTCCCATGGGGTGCAGGGCCCTAGCACTTGGGCCATCCTCCACTGCCTTCCTGGGCCATAGCAGAGAGCTGGCCTGGAAGAGGGGCAACCGGGACAGAATCTGGCGCCCCGACTGGGACTAGAACCTGGTGTGCCAGCACCGCAAGGCAGAAGATTAGCCTATTGAGCCACGGCGCCGGCCTAAAGCTTACATATTTCTGTTACCTGAGATAGTCAGTTGCAGTAGGCAATTCTGTATTTTGTATACTTTGTATAACATTGTAGTTTTTAAAAAATATTTATTTATTTTAGAGACAGAGTTACAGAGAGGGAAAGACAGAGATTATCCACCCACTGGTTCACTCCCCAAATGGCCAGAACTGGGCTGATCTGAAACCAGGAGCCATCAGCTTCTTCCAGATCTCCCCGTTGGTACAGGAGCTCAAGGACTTTTGCCGCCTTCCACTGCTTTCCCAGGCCATTAGCAGGGAACTGGATCAAAAGTGGAGCAGCTGGGGTTCAAACCAGTGCCAATATGGGATGCTGGTGCCGCAGACGAGGCTTAACCTATTATGCCATGGCGCCAACCCCTCGAGTCAGTATTGATAGTCTGTATTTTTCTAGGAATGTGTCTGTTTCATTTGAGTAATCAAATTTGTTGGCATATAATTCATGTTATTTTCTTACAGATAGTTTTCTAGCCATTTATATATTCTATTGGTTAATCTGAAGGGGCGTTCATTTGATGTCTAATTTGTTTTATTCTTTTACATATTGCAAGGACTCTAAATATTGTGAAAACTTCAGAACTTTCTTTTTTGTTTTGTCAGTGCAATAATTCACACTTCTTTGAATTTACTAAAATAAGTATTTTTTTATTCTCCTTTGTTTATTGAATTAACTCTTCCTTCAGCATTAGTGGTAAGTCCTCAAGGTTGACTTGATTCATAACTGAATGTGTAGCTTTATCAGCATTGGCTATTGGTTGAGTGTACTGAGCTGTGAGGGTGTAGTGTGAGGTCCTAAAGCAGAAGCTAGCCAGCCAGGCTCAGGACTCCCCATCTGCGGTCTTCTCTGACTGCTTTGAATGTGCCTTTTCTCATTGGAGGAATGAAGGAACAATGGGCCCAGGTGCCTGGATACATTTGGCATATACATGATTGTGACAGATGCTTCTCCTCTTGGGTTCGGTGGAAACCTAAGGATAGCTGGTGCATCACCTTGATTCTTCTTTCTGATCCCGGCCTCTCCTCCTCTGCCTCCCACTCCTCTCCCATCCAGAACTGTCCTTTTCCACTGCAGCCCCTGGACAGATTCCTCAGCCAGCTGGTGAGCAGGAGCAGAGCAGGCCGTATGTCACTTCTGCTGTCCACCACTTGCCTGGGGCTTCCTGTGGCTCCCAGCCTCTGCTGGTGTTGATTGGTAACGTGCATCTAGTCACTTGGACTGTCTCCTCCTCCTCCTATGTTAGGATACAGGTGCCTCTGTTCCACTTTGTCTGTCAGATTGACCCTGTTGACTGTATAATTTCTAGAAATTTCTGACTACTTCAGAAGTATTTCTTAACATTTAGGATTGCCCTTTTCCTCTTATCCCACTCTCCTGTTGATTTATCTGTGTTTTTATATTTCTTCTGGAATTTCTATGAGATTTTTTAAGGGGTGAGAAGAGCATTTTTTCAATCTTTTTAAAGTGACTCAGAATACAGATATTTTTGTAAATGATTTTAGGTATTACATTTTGTATCTATGTTGTGCTTTACCCTTTGCTACATAAAGATTGTTAATCTCAGGCCGGCGCCACGGCTCACTAGGCTAATCCTCCGCCTAGCGGCGCCGGCACACCGGGTTCTAGTCCCGGTTGGGGTGCCGGATTCTGTCCCGGTTGCCCCTCTTCCAGGCCAGCTCTCTGCTGTGGCCAGGGAGTGCAGTGGAGGATGGCTCAAGTGCTTGGGCCCTGCACCCCATGGGAGACCAGGAGAAGCACCTGGCTCCTGCCTTCAGATAAGCGTGGTGCGCCGGCCGCAGCACACCAGCCGTGGCAGCCATTGGAGGGTGAACCGAAGGCAAAGGAAGACCTTTCTCTCTGTCTCTCTCTCTCACTGTCCACTCTGCCTGTCAAAAAAAATTAAAAAAAAAAAAAAAGTTGTTAATCTCCTCAGTAACAAAATGCTTTTCCCACAACACCTAAAAAAATTTTGGGGGCAGCCTTTTTACCTCTTAGAGTTGGGAGTCTTTACAAAAATATTTCAAATGAAAAACCTAACGGGAGGCAAGAAACGGATGCAATCTTTTGGAAAGCTGCCAAGACAGTGAAAAACCCCCTCCCCATTGTTCACCCGGGGCTTATTTGCAAATCAAAAGTTCCTGCTTAGGGGGGGGCAGGGTTGTGACCCGGGGAAAGGGGGCCCCTCCTGGAGTTCTGCAGTACACGGCCACCCTAGGCAGTCCTGAGAAGGCCAGGCTTCTATGCCCTTCTAGTTGTACAGCCCTGTTTCCATCAGGAGTCTTAGTAACCCCACTTCTGGAAACATTCCCCTGCAAAGACTCTTACTTTTCTAATTAAAAATTTAAAGCAAGCTACATATTGGAATTAAAGAGAATAGTTAAAATAAATGATTCATAGAAATAATTCTGTCATTAAAAGTGTTATTTATGATAGATTGAAACAGTGTGGTAAAATAATTGTGGTCTGAGTTCAGAAATCGAAATTGAATATTAATAGGAACACAACTGTGTAAAATTATATGGAAAAATACTGGAGGGAAGATAGCAAATGTGAATAGTGGTCTCTGCATGGTGGAATTATATATGATCCCTCCTCCTGTCATCATATTTTTCAAATCCACTATCATGAGCATGTATTACTTTTTCAGGAAAACAACAAAAATATTTTTTAGCGTAATTATGGACGTCTACCTTGCTGTGATGTATTTCTGATTTTCCTGGACTAGCTTTTTTTGGTATTTTGATCTTATTTCTCAGAGCAGTTTTTGGTGGACCAGGTTTGATGAATTCACATTTAGAGGCAATAAAGAACTTAAAGAGATAGTTGCAAATAAATCTTGTTAAACTCATTCCCAGTTCCGCCACGGGACCCACCCCTTGAAATTCTTTCTCTTTCAGCTTGCCAGTGCAACGGCCACAGCAAGTGCATCAACCAGAGCATCTGTGAGAAGTGTGAGAACCTGACGACGGGCAAGCACTGTGAGACCTGCATATCTGGCTTCTATGGGGATCCTACCAACGGAGGGAAATGCCAGCGTAAGTGCGATTGGTCAGGCTTGCTGATGGCAAATGAGGTGGACTTTACATTGGAGTTAAATAGCTTAGAGGAAAAGAGCCATTTTATTTTGTGTACTACAGATCTTAGTAAGTCAGACTTGTACTGCCAAGTATCAGAGTAGCAGTTAAAGCAACAGCCAGGAATGGCAGCGTTGAGCCTTTAGTCGCATTCTGATGTGGTCACTGTGCTGAAGGCACCTCAGCTCAGGCAGAGGGCAGCCAGCCCAGCCTCAGAGGCACCCATCACCCAGAGGCTGTGTCTGTGTCCCCATTCCCAGCACCTGGCATACTAGAGATGCTGTGTCAATATTTATGGAAAGGAAGAAAGAACGATAATAGTGACAAAGAGTCTATCAAAAAGATCAGTAGTGGTTGCTTCAGATGGCAGTGAGAATCAGCCTTCTTTTTCCTCCAGTCCTTTGACCTTGGTCCCTGCAATGTTGCCCTTGAGTGACTAGAGATAAATCTTTAGCTGAAAAATAATGAATCCTCATTAAATGCTCTTGGTTTAATCTGTGTTTCCTGTCAAGCCCAATTCAGAGAAAATTGTTTCTTTGGGGAAATTACTGTGGCAGTAGTAATTTTTTAAAGCCAGATTTGACCTCCATTCCATTTCCTTCTCCCCAGCATGCCGGTGCAATGGACATGCATCACTGTGTAATACCAACACGGGCAAGTGCTTCTGCACCACCAAGGGCGTCAAAGGGGATGAATGCCAGCTGTGAGTACCACACTCCCTGTACTGCAGTGAGGACCAATGGCTATGAAGTTGCCAGACCACCACCCTGCAAGCTACCCTCTCCTTGTGCCTTGCTGCCATGGACTCTGAGAGATCTTTGGGTTATTAGATTAAAATGTTGCCCTTTCTGCCTCAGACAGGTGGCTCTCCAACCCCTTGAGGTTGTCAAGGTAGCAGCAATTCTTTAATATCTCTTCAATTCATGTTTTTATGTTTGAGTGACACTGACATTTTCCTGGGTTGGTAAGTTGGATTTGTTGTTTTAACTTGAACAGTTATTCAAGGTTTGATATATCAGGAGATTGCACTCATTCCTGAAGGATACTTGGAAGAGCTGGTATCCTAGTAACTCAGCGTCAGGCAGACTGGGGCTCAGACCCAGCCATGTGTCCACTGAGCAGAGTGCTCTTGAGGCAAATCGCTGAACTGTGCTGAGCCTGTTTCCTCACTGATCAATATGGGGACTAACAGTGATTGTTCTTGTGTCCTGGTGAGTTGAAAGACGGAGGGATTGACTGGAAAACTTCATAAAACACATGCATTCAGGTTTACATATTCTCTCAGGAGGAGACTTACGAAGTGGTTAGTATCGGGGCCGGCACCATGGCTTACTTGGTTAATCCTCCATCTGCAGCGCTGGCATCCCATATGGGCATCAGGTTATAGTCCTGGTTGCTCCTCTTCCAGTCCAGCTCTCTGCTGTGGCCCAGGAAGGCAGTGGAAGATGGCCCAAGTGCTTGGGCCCCTGCACCCGCATGGGAGACCAGGAGGAAGTGCCTGGCTCTTGGTTTCGGATTGGCGTAGTTCTGCCCGTGGTGGCCATTTGGGGAGTGAACCAATGGAAGGAAGACCTTTCTCTCTGTCTCTCTCTCTCCCGGTCTATAACTCTACCTGTCAAAGTTATGATGATCATCAAATAAGTCGTGTGTAGAATCAAAGATCTGCGCTGAGGGAAGCACATACAGCATTGGTAAATTTTGCTTTCCTTAAAGAAAAATAGTAAAAATGCCACTGGTGACTGAGTCATTGCTAGTGGTATTCAAAAAAGAATAGGTTTGTGGACACTTTATAGTTTCATAAACATATTTTTTTTTTACAGGCAGAGTTAGTGAGAGACAGAGAGAAAGGTCTTCCTTTTTCCGTTGGTTCACCCCCCAAGTGGCCGCTATGGCCGGCGCATTGTGGCTGGCACGCTGCGCTGATCTGAAGCCAGGAGCCAGGTGCTTTCTCCTGGTCTCCCATGCGGGTGCAGGGCCCAAGGACCTGGGCCATCCTCCACTGCACTCCCGGGGCACAGCAGAGAGCTGGACTGGAAGAGGGGCAACCAGGACAGAATCCGACGCCCCAACCAGGACTAGAACCCGGGGTGCCGGCATCACAGGCGGAGGATTAGCCTAGTGAGCTGCGGCGCTGGCCCAGCATATATGTTTACTAGTTTCATGCTTCCCTGCAGCCAGTATGTGAAGAAAAGTCTAATAAAAGATTAAATTTTGGATCCAGTTCCCTTTAAGCAAAAATGTGGTAGAGCAAAAGTAATCCTGTTGCCATCGGTTAGGGCACGTAGCAGATGCATGAGGCATCCCCCAGTGAGACCCTCATGTCTCCTCCAGAGGTTATAGATAGCAGCAAGTGCCATTCATCACCTGGATGAAAGCACACACGTCCCAGCCTCCTCTTACCTGGGAAAAGTGCTGCACTCAGCCTTTCTCCTCCTCATCCAGCGGTTCATGGCTGCTGTGTTTGCCCACAGGGCTTTGTGAAGTGGGAGTCTGGAGCTAGCTGGTGCTTACAGACGACATCTGTGAGGAATTAATGTGCTTTTGAGTGTAGGTTATTTTTTTTCTCCAGAATGGTGAGCACTTGTTCAGGAGTTTAAAAAAAAATGGCTTGTGGTATTTATTCTTCTCTCACTTCTATTTAAAGAACAGGGTCGGTTTGTCCAGGGATAATAGGAGGGAGAAATGAATATTTGAAAAATGTTTTAACTGTGCTTTTAGAAAAATGTGTAGTCCACATAAAAGTAAAAATGTGTTTTTCTTTTTAGTAAACGGGGCTTAGATTTATTGCATTTGGGTTTATGTCCTGTTCTTTGCCAGATGTTTGTCAGTTGTTTTTATATAATTGGCGGTGTGAGCTGCTGGGCAATTAGCACCAAAGAAGAATCCTTGTAAACTCTTGTTAGGCCATCTCATCTGAATAATAGTGAAGAATGTAATTATCGTGACTGAAAAACTGCTTGTAGCTTGTATTAAATACCTGCTTGATTGTGAAATGAACGTAGATTCTGCTTTAAATAGAAAATGATCTTTATTTTTCTCCCTGTAGATGTGAGGTAGAAAACCGATACCAGGGAAACCCCCTTAAAGGAACATGTTACTGTAAGTATTTTGGCAATTCTTAATTCTAGAAGCACAGTAGCTCAGTAAAACTCCATTGTTTTCTTTAGCATGATGGAGAATGCTCAGTGCTATCAGAATATAGGAACCACTCTCGGAAGTGCCCGCAGACGTGGTGTGTTTATCTTCTGTGAAGTTCACTGCATTCATGAACACTGTTTTCAGATGTTGTAATTGTAGTCCTGACTTGTGTTTGTGTGTCCATGGCAGATAGCAGGGAAAGTCCAGGTATATGTACCTCTGGCTCTCCTTGTTTGTATTCTCTGGAAACCTTGCTTCATTTGCAATTACCATCATATTTCCTACTTCAGGATATGGAATAAAAGCAGAGTTCTTGAAATACAGTTAAGGTTTTATCATTCTCTCTAGAACTGATTTTATTAACCATCTCTTTAGGAATGAATAAGTAAAGTAAAATATCAAATTACTATCAGAATAAAAGGTGACTCTGGCAAGGGGAGTAGGTCTTTATGGGTGAATGTCTGTCTCCTGTAGGAAAAGCCCCCTGGTAGGCCAGATGATGGAACTAGAGAAAAGGAGGTAGTGTTACTACTAATGTAATGTAATTTATGCCTACTGAACTGGATTGGATAGCCTCTCCTCAAAATTCATGTCTACTTAGAACCTATGAATTTGACTTTATGGTTTAAACTTCTGGAGGAAAACTTCTTCACCTTGGGCAGGAAAAAAGAGTTCTTAGATGTGATTCTAAAAGCACAATTCATGAGAAAAAACTTATTATTGAGATTTTATCAAAATGTAAAACCTGTATTTTAAAAAATAAAAGATTTGAGTGTTGTGGCACAGCAGATTAAGCCACCACCTGCTATACCAACATCCTATCTGAGCACTGGTTCGAGTCCCAGCTGCCCCACTTCAGTCCAGCTCCCTGCTAATCCGCCTGGGAAGCATCAGATGATGACCCAAATTCCTGGGTCCCTGCCATCCATGTGGGAGACCCAGATGGAGTTCCAGCCTCCTGGCTTCAGCCTGGCCCAGCCCTGGCTATTACCACCATTTGGGGAGTGAACTGGAAAAGGAACATCTCTTTCTCTGTCTCTCCCTCTCTCTGTAACTCTGCCTTTCAAATAAATAAATAAAAGATTCCAAAAGTAAAAAGCCACAGAATAGAGAAAATATTTGTAAATCATGTATTTGATAAAGAGTTTGTATTTAGAATTTTTAAAGAACTCTTCCATCTGAATAAAAAATTAATTCTAATTAAAAACAGGCAAAGATAAGGGGCTGGTGCTGCAGCATGGCAGGTAAAGCCACTTGCCTGTGGCACTGGCATCCCATAAAGGCACTGGTTTGAGTCCTGGCTCTTCTACTTCCAATCCAGCTCTCTGGGAAAGTGGCCTGGGAAAGTGGCATAAGATGGCCTAAGTGCTTGGGTCCCTGCACCCATGCGGGAGACCCAGAAGAAGCTCCTGGCTCCTGGCTTTGGATCAGCTTAGCTCTGGCCATTGCAGCCTTTTGGGGAATGAACAGTCTCTCTGTCTGTCTCTCCATCTTTCTCTCTGTAACTCTGCCTTTCAAATTAATTAATTAATTAAAGAAAAAAAACAGGCAAAGATTTGAATAGATGTTTCACCAAAGAAGATATATGAGTGGCCGCTAAACACATTGAAAAATACTTATTGTCATTAGTTATTAGGGATAAGCACATTAAAACTACATTAAGATACAGCCCTGGAATGACTAGGATCAAAAAGTAATACCATAATTGTAATCTCTTGTCTGCTTCTGCATTCAGTCTTTTGCAGTATGTCTCCAATGTAAAAAAAAAAAAAAAAAAAAGGTTAGCCTCACGAGACTGTGGTTGGGAAACAGTTCTTAGGCCCCTGCACCTGTGGGAGACCCAGAAGAAGCTCCTGGCTCCTGGCTCCTGGCTCCTGGCTTCAAATTGCCCAGCCCCAGCCATTGCAGCCATTTAGGGAGTAAATCAGTGGGTGGAAGATTTCTCTCTCTCTCTCTCTCTCTCTCTCTCTCTCTCTCTCTCTCTCTCTCTGCCTCTCTGTAACTCTGCCTTTCAATAAATAAATAAATCATTAAAAAATAAAAAAAAAAGATGCTGAGAAACTGAAACCTTTTTGCATTGCTTTTGGGAATGTAAGATGCTATTGTATTTTGGAAAACCATTTGCAGTTTCTTAGATGATTAAAAATAAACTTAAGAACTCCCCATTTCCCTCTTCCAGCAGTCCTGGCAATCACCATTCTGTTTTCTGTTTCTATGAATTTAACTACCCTAGCTGCCTCATTTAAGTGGAATCACATAATTATTGATCTTCTGACTAGTTTTTAAGTTTTTGAAGAACTGCGATACTACTTTCTATAGCAGCTATACCATTTTACATTCCTACCAACAGTGCATAAAAGTTCCTGTTTTCCACATCCCCACCAATACTTGTTATTTTCTGTTCTGCTTTTTTTTATATATATAGCCTTCCTTGTGGGTGCAAAGTGTTATTTCATTGTGGTTTTGATTTGCATTTTCCTGATAACCAGTGGTATTGAATATCTTTCATGTGTTTATTGGCCATTTGTATATCATCTTTGGAGAAAAGTCTGTTGAAGTCCTTTGCTCACTTTTTAGTAGGTTTTTTTGGTTCTTGTTGAATTGTGCAATACACTTTCTAAAGTTAAATTTTACAAACTTTGGCCAGTAAGCGCTCTCTAAAACTGTGTTCTTTTGCTATATCACATTAGTCTTTAAGTACTTTGTTCCTCTATGAAATAATATAACCAAGGAATGTAGTCCTTGCTCTCGACCTGGAATCAACTATTTTTCAATGGACTCCTGGTTTCTGTTACATCATTAATTTATATCTTTGTGTCTTTAAACAAAGCCTAGCATATAATAGGTATACAGTTAATATTTGTAGGTGAGTGAGATTGGAGCCTAAAATCTCAACCAGGGTCATGATATAAAGAGGATTTAGTGGGTTAATGCAAATAAAATGATACAACTCAGATTTGATTTTCTTTGACAGAACCTGGTTATGGGTGAGGTCAGAGTGCTTTCCTTGCTATTGAGTTTATGACAAAAGTGGTCTGTATCTCTAGAAACTTTAGTATTTTGTTTGGTTTCTATTTTAAAATATACATCTCTGTCTCTTTCCACAGATACTCTTCTTATTGACTATCAGTTCACATTTAGCTTGTCCCAGGAAGACGACCGCTACTACACAGCCATCAATTTTGTGGCTACTCCTGATGAAGTAAGCTGATTTTTTTTTTAAGTCTCCCTATTTTGCTTTAAATTTGTGCAAATCTTCTTGGCCACTATGGGTGGAAGTACTGCCTGAGTAGTACTCTACTCTGAGTTTCCAGGGTAGAGAACCCAGGATGATCCTTAGAGTTGCAGGAAAAGATTGTTAGAATTTACATTTTTTAAAGATTTATTTATTATTTGAAAGAGTTACACAGAGAGAGAGAGAGAGAGGTCTTTCATCCGCTGGTTCACTCCCCAGCTGGCTGCAACAGTTGGAACTGTGCCAATTCGAAGCCAGGAGCCTCTTCTGGGTCTCCCATGCAGGCGCAGGGCCCAAGCACTTGGGCCATCTTCTACTGCTTTCCCTGGTCATAGCAGAGCTGGATTGGAAGTGGAGCAGCCGGGACTAGAACCAGTGCCCATATGGGATGCTGGCACTGCAAGCGGTGGCTTTACCTGCTACGCCACAATGCTGGCCCCAGAATTTACATTTTATTTATTTTCCATCTGACAGTCAAGACCAATATTGAAATAAAGTTTAGCAGGATCTGATATGCACAGTCTGACACTGACTACACATGTACATGGTTTGCCTGTCAGTCCAACACAGCCCCATTTGGAAAAGGAGAGAAGGTTGCAAGGGAAGCTCCTCCTTCAGAGAGCAAATGACAGAACTAGATTTAAAATGACTGCAAAAACCAACCAGAGGCCTAGATGCATCTGCAGAGAAACTGCTGATTAAAATTAATGCCACCGATCATTTGGACTCGAATACTATATTGCCTGAACTTTGAAGTGCCTGATTTTGATTGGTTAGGTTTGTAGAGTGTTCTGTTAAGCTATATGCTTTAGTCTTTGAGTATGATTTTAAAGATTTACTTATTTATTTGAAGGGCAGAGCTACAGAGAGAGAGGAGAGACAAAGAGAGAGATCTTCCATTTGCTGGTTCACTCCCCAAATGGCTGTAACTTTGGGGCTGGGCCAGGCCAGAGCTGGGAACTAAGAGTATCTTCCTGGAATCCTATGTGTGTCGCAGAAGCCCATGGACTTAGCCCATCTTCTGCTGCTTTTCTCAGGCCATTTCCAGGGAGCTAGATCAGAAGTGGAACAGCCAGGTCTTGAACTGGCGCACATATGGGATGCCTACACAGCAGATAGTGGCTTAACACATAGCGCCACAGTGCTGGCCCTAACCTGTTTTAAGATCTTTTAAAATGAAGAGTTTCAATGGGAGAAGGAGCAGGAGATGGGAGGGGTGTTATGGGGGGGGGGGGAGCCATTGTAATCCATAAACTGTACTTTGGAAATTTATATTTACTAAATAAAAGTTTAAAAAAAAATGAAGAGTTTCAGCATGATTGAATCCCTTTGCAAAATATAAAGATACAGCATCTGATTAGTTTGCCAAAATAATTTCTTCACCCCAGTAAAGAGATTTACTAGTACAATTTAAGTGAAAATTGAAAATGAGTATTATAATTTACCTATCATAGCCAACAATGTACTACTGTTTGGCTCAGTGGATTTCTCAGGGCTATCCTTTTCAGCCACTATAACCAAGAATCAAAATAAATTGGACTAGTGCTTTGAATTGCTGTGTCTCTGAGTGGTAAGCAAGGTTTTCAGAGCTGAGAAAGTATCCTCAGTCACATTTCTCTTAAAATATTTTTAGTGGGAGAAAAATATTTTCAAATTCTGAGTGAATGTAATGAGAGAATTTTTTAAATTTAGATTGTCTGGGCTTTGTATGCATTTTTAAAATCATTTCCAGTTGGGAGACATTTTATACTGTATATATAATCTTTGAATTCAGCAGCATATGAGTTTAAATTATAAACAAATATAAACTAGGACACTGAATCAAGTGTTTTTCTGAGAACATTTCAGAACAGCTGCCCAAAGGATCCTTATGAGCCTGATTCACCTAACATGGGTCTGTGGATGAAAAACATATACTAAAATGGGCATCTTTTAAAAAGATACCTTTTGGGGGCAGGTGTAGATCCAGCTGGAGTTCATGGCCCCTGCCCTCATCGCATCCCAGTGGCCCTGTCCCAGCCATTACAGCCATTTGGGAAGTGATCCAGCAGATGGAAGATCTCTCTTGCTCTGCCTTGCAAATAAATAAATGCAAAATAAAGATAACTTTTTCATGGAGTTAGACTTAGGGAGGGAAATAAACTTTTATTTAGTGGATATATTACTGGTATTATGGAAAATTTTTGGTTTGAATTGTCTTTTGAGACATTGTAGAACATTGTAAAATTTAACTATTCCTTTATCTTAAAATATGGAAATAGCTCATTTCTGTTTGTGCCTTTCATCAGCAAAACAGGGATTTGGACATGTTCATCAATGCCTCCAAAAACTTCAACCTTAACATCACCTGGGCTGCCAGCTTCTCAGGTAAAGACACACCTAGAAAAGACCATCCACATAGTGGTGATGGATGAGAAATGTTACATAGGAGTGGAGAAAGGGGGCTCTGGAGAGAGACAAATGGTTTTGAAACCTGCCTTTTCTACTTACTTGCTGTGAGACCTTGACTGAATGTCCAACCCCCTCTCAAGACCATAGAATGATTCCTCTGTAAAGTGAGAAGAATAATGCTCACCTCCCAGAACTGTTATGTATAGTAAATTGTGTTGTATCTGCCAAGGCTTACCAGTGTCAGGCTCGGTTTATACTGAACTTCCCTGCTACCCCCACTTACACCCTTGCTGTGGCTGCTGCTCTGGCTCTGCCGTCAGCCTCCACATCTATGCTTCAGGAGACAAAAATGCAAATGATTCCTGGTTTCAAGGGAAGAGAGCATTTTAAATAAAATGAGATTTTAGTAGTTATGGAGAAATATACTTTGGAAATGCAATCAAGCCGTAAACACACCATTTGCTATCTAGTTTGTCTTACTATGATTCACTGAATACTCACTGGGCAGAAAATCTAAAGAAATAAAGGATGGCGCTCATGTGATGGTTAATAAGGTAACCATTGCATAACTTGGTAGCTGGGCAGATAGACCTGGATTTGAATTCTGCCTGTTACTTACCTGCATTATATGTGCTGCTGGGCAAATTACTTAGCTTTCTGAGCCAGTTTATTCAAGTGTGCAATGGGATAGTAGAACACCTCTTCATATAGAGTGTTGGATGGCTTAAATGAGATTAAAAAAAAAAAAAAGTTCTCAAAGCAATGCTTGAAGCATGGTAAATTCTAAATGCTAGCTGTGTTTCCTCATCATTTCAAGTCCATTTCGTGATCTTTATTGAGACTTAATTTCGTGGCTGTGGGAGGGTATGAAATGTTGAAGGATTGTCTGGGAATAGGATGGAGTTACACCAGATCAGGTGAGCTCAGGGAAGACTGAGAGACTCCTTCAGCCCCTCCCTCCTTTGCTAACCAGTGAATTTGAGGCCACTGCTGCTTAGGAAATGAGGGGTGAATCATGGTCCCCGAAGTGGGAGTCTGGAGCTTTGCCAGCTGGTATAAAGGGGACTGCAAAGGAATTGAAGTGTTATGCACAGAGTAATCGCCAATGTTGTTAATAGGATTCCTGTAGTGTCTAGTTTCATGGCCACATTTGGCCTAGTTTAGTGCAGAGGGAAGGTGCAGATGTTCCTGATAAAACTGTTCTGGTCAGGTGCACAGGCTTGTCTTGTCAGCCAGCAAAACTTCAAGTTCCAACTCCACCTCTTGCTGGCAGTGTGACCTGAGGCAGGTCACTTAATTTCTCTGAACCTCGGTTTCCTAATCTATAAATGAGGTTAGTCACAGTGTTGTTGAGTTCCTAAAGACTGTTCCGGAATGTTGTGGGTATTCAGTAGATGCTAACCATTTCAGTCTTTTCTTTCTGACAGCTGGAACCCAAGCTGGAGAAGAGATGCCTGTTGTTTCAAAAACCAACATTAAGGAATACAAAGATAGCTTCTCCAATGAAAAGTTTGATTTTCGCAACCACCCAAACATCACTTTCTTTGTTTATGTCAGTAATTTCACCTGGCCCATCAAAATTCAGGTAGGAAATGCTTTTTGTCTCATTCCTACAAAAATGGTAAAATCTCTTTAGAGAAGACTACATTCACTAAATTGGGACTTGTGGTTAATGAAATGTACAGTGTTGCTTTCCTTTGCAATACTGTGTGGCAAAGGAATGCTGAGCACATGAATACTGTAAACAAGATAGTGGTGGAGGTGGCTTGTATCACTTCTGAAGGAAATTAATGAGCACTTTTGAAGGCAAGTTGGCACATAGCAAATTTTGTGATTACAAATGTATTCATTGCTGCATTGAGGACTTGCCGTGTAAAAGCCTGTAGGGCTCCACAGAGAGCTTCAGTTCTGGAGTAAGGTGGATGTAAAGGAAACAAACACATGCAATCAGTGCAAGCCAGAGTGTGGAAAATGACATAAAGACCCCCAGGGAACTCTCAGAGTTGAAAGGAGGCCAGCTGGGGTACAGTGGGAGGCAACATAATGACATCATACATAAAAGCATTGGCCTGTGGTTAGATGGATGTAGGTTTGATTTCTGGCTGCCTCTCCAAGTCTCAGATTCTTTGTGCATGTGACCTGGAAGGCTGCTTATGAGGATTTGTGTCCCCTGCTGCGGTCTCTGTTATTGTCAACATTCCCTTGTCCCCCATTCCCAAGGGAAAGACCCATGGCCCGTTTGAGCTTTTTATACTCATATCCTCTGAGGCTTTTCCTCAGTACTTCCCATTTGCGATCTCCTTCATTGGGTGCACGTGGAGGTCAGGGATGGGTGGACTTTGTGGGGCTGATTCACTGGCGGCCATGAAAGCACGGTTACTGGACTGGGGCTGTTGCTGCTTGCTGGCTTTCAGAAGCACAGTCAACTTCTGAAGCAAGTCAGACCACTCCAGGTGGGATTGAAACCTAGTCCTGGTGGTTATGTCTTCATGCTTTGGGACTAAGGAGCCATCAGTCTTGTCTTTTCTGGAATGTGGAGGATGGGAACTATGTTAGAATTTTTCACACCACCCTCTGTCTTTTTCCCATCTAGATGGTCTGTGAATTTATCCTTCAATCTGTTCCTCACTTTGCTCCTGCACACTCCCTTCTTCCTTCAGCACATCCAGAAACCACATCAGTCCCCTCACCTTCACTTTGCATAACTTGAATCACTCTTGCCTTCCCGGTCCTTTCTTTTCCCAGTTCTCTGACCAATCATTTTAAAGAACCCTCTTCTTAAATACTGAGGTTACCTTGGATTCAGACTTTATCCACTCCTCTCTTTATGGTAATTCCATCCTCTTCTCAGACTTTGCCACCACATCTGTGGGCAGTCCCCAGTGCCTGTCTCCAGCTCAGTGTCTTCTTGAGTGCCACACCAGTCCTCCCAGCTGCCACATAGCAGTCTGTGCCTGGTTGGTCACTCACTCACAGGGTCCTTGCGCTTGGTGTGCAGTCTTTGGTGTGATTTGAACCCCAGACTCCCATGCTTCCTTTCTCAGTGAACCACACCACTACTCACCCTGTGACACAAGCCAAGGAGGGCCTGGGAATCACTTGCATTCTTGGGATGAAGCCAACTTAGGCTTGATGTGCTGTTTCTTTACTTTACACATTGTTGGATTCTGCTTGCTAACATTTAGATTAAATTTTTTATTTGTTTCATGAATAAGAATGTCTTAATAGTTTTACTTTCTGTCCTTGTTATCAAGGTTTAACCAACCTTTACTAATTATAATTTGAGAAGTTTCTCTTTCTCATATTCTGAAGAGATGTAAAGTTAGAATTACCTGAACCTCAAGTACTTAAAATCATTTTATTCTAATGTTTTATTTGTAGAGTTTTTTTTAGCTTTCTGATTCCACTTCTTTAATAATTATAGGATATTTTGGATGGTCTCTTTTATTTGATCACTTTCAGTCATTTTTCTAGACATTTATATAATTAATATATATATATAAGAATATATGAGGAAATCATTATGTTAGTATGATGTAAGGACTCACAGAACTCAACAGTAAAGGAAACAGAAGACCATGAAAAAACATTTCACCAAAAAGGATACAAATATGGCAAATGACCATCTGGAAAGATGTTCAGTATCAATAACCATTAAAGAGATACAGATTGAAACTACAACAAGGTATTACTCCACACAGTTCAAAATGACTGAAGCAAAACACCAAAGCCAGAGCAGATGGAGCAAAATTGGACCACTCATACATTGCTGGTAGGGGTGTGAAGCAGTTCAGCTACTCTGGAAAATAGTTCCATATTTTCTTATAAAATTAAATTTTCACTTACTCTGAAACCCAACAGTTGCATTCCAGGTCATTTGCCAAAATTAAACAGCTTTATTCACAATAGCCCACACTGGAGATAACCCAAATATTCCTCAGCAGATGAATGATTAAATAAGCTATGCTACACATCCACTGTGGAATAATATATGGTAATAAAAATGAATGGATTATTGGTACAACTGCTTCAGTAACCAAGGAAATTTTGCTGACTAAAAAAAAAAGTCTTAGAAGTCCACAAACTACATGATTCCATTTATATAACATTTGAAAATAATAATTTTAGATACAAATATACATTCCTGTGTTGCTTAACAATAGAGATGCATTCTGAGAAATGTGTAGGCAATTTGTCATTGTGTGAACATCATGAAGTATCCTTACACAAACCTATAAAATAGGCCCTGGCCTCTTGATGTGATCAGGACACAGAAAATACCAGATATCTGACGCTGCTGCCCAAGTAACATGGGCAGTTTTCACAGTAAACTTTTTTTGATAAGTAGGAGTCATTGCTGAAATAGGAGTAAAAATATAGTATAATAAAAACACAAACCAGTATCATAGCCCTTTATTATCGCTATCAAGTGATATGTATAGGACATAATTGTATGTGCTTCTACTTTTACTCAGCTGGCAGCGTAATTGGTTTGTCTACACCAGCATGAACATGAACTACAATGCACAGCTATGACGTTACTAAGTGATAGGAATTTCTTAGCTCCATTATAATTTCATGGGACCACCATTTGTATATGTGGTTTGCCATTGACTGAAATGCCACGATTATATACATATACAACTACACACACTGAATCTATCTACTGAAACTTCAGATTTCTGTGACTTCTGATTCTGACCTGTCAAATCTGTTTTAAAAGGGCTTATCTGGTTAGGTCAGGCCCGCCTGTACCAAGGAAAGGGAGTATACAAAGTGTGTACACAGCAGAGTGGGATTCTTGAGGATCATGTAAGAATTCTCCCTGCTGTATTTAGGCTACATTTAGAGTGGAGCAGGCAAGATGTAGGTTGTTTCTCTGATCCCAGGGCAATGGAATTGTAGGCTGTACTAAGTACAATTTTAACTTGGTAACAGCTTTTTTATGTTTTTATTTATTTATTTATTTATTTATTTATTTATTTATTTATTTATTTATTTTTGACAGGCAGAGTTAGAGAGAGAGACAGAGAAAAAGGTCTTCCTTCCGTTGGTTCACCCCCCAAATAGCTGCTACAGCCGGCGCACTGCGCCGATCTGAAGCCTGGAGCCAGATGCTTCCTCCTGGTCTCCCATGCGGGTGTAGGGCCCAAGCATTTGGGCCATCCTCCACTGCCTTCCCGGGCCACAGCAGAGAGCTTGACTGGAAGAGGGGCAACTAGGACAGAACCAGTGCCCCAGCTGGGACTAGAACCCAGGGTGCCGGTGCCGCAGGTGGAGGATTAGCCTAGTAAGCCGCGGCGCCGGCCGGTAACAGCTTTTAACACAATACATTATAGTTATATGTTATTTGTTAGATTATTTTTATTTAAAATACTTGATTTAGGTTCTAGTAAATAAACGTTATTGACTTATTTTAAATTGAGATTTTTTTTCATACTGGCATACCTCATTATATTCTAAATCTAATTGAATGTCAAGCTTTTGTAGCTGAAAAGTTGACTATTATTTCTGAGATCCTCAGCGAAAATCTTGACTTTGACTGCTGCTGGTTTTCCCACTGGAAGGAGGGCCCTGTGCGTATAAGCAGGCTTTTGTGCTGGAGATAGCCTGGCTCTGGCCAAGTCTGAGCTCTGGTTTTTTTCCTCCCAGGGCCCTGTTGCTCCACCCTCTGAAAGTCCCTGAAATACCTTTAGAGCCTTCCTTCTAGAGGGAGCTCTTCCCCGTGCTTACTTCTAAAAAGTAGTAATTTTAAATTTAAGAATAAAAAAGGTGTTGATTTTCTGCTTGATGTTTTGGTGCTCTTTGCCTGGGCTGGATCACTCGAATAAGATCCGCTTAAGAAAGCTGCAGACGGGAGCACTTGTGAAAATAAACGATGGCGTGCTCACTACTTAGTTTGCCAAGCTTTCCTTGAAAAAGCAGGTAAGTTTTATTAAGCATGTGTCTTTTTGCTCTTTAGTACAAATGACTGCAGTATTTACAAACGGTGCCTCTAGACCTGTAGCATCAAAGTGTCCTCCTGCGAGAGCCCAGTCAACACTGGCTCTCCCTGCACTTGGGATGGTTTCTGCTGAGCGCTGTGTGGAGAACTGAGCTGGCATCTTGCTGGGTAGATGCCTCATGTTCAACAAAGAGGCCACATGTTTCTTTATTGCTCTCTTTTCCCAGAGCCTTAGCTTCCTAGGTGTAGCTTAGCTTCCTATGGCTCCTACACACATAGACACTCAGCAGCTGTACAAATTGAGTAAACACTTAAGGAAGAGAGTAATGTCTAGTGCAGTAGAGGCAATTCAGTTAAACTTCACTATGGCTTTCAGTGCAAGCAAAGCCTTTTGGCCTTTGGTCCCCATTTTTTAAAGTAAAGTAACCGAGGAAATCTGATTATCTACTCGGAAATTCATGTAAACATTGGTGTTGTGAAACGGTAACGCTAAACGCCAGTTCCTTCACTGAACCCATCAGAATTCTTTCCTATAATTAGGAACAGATCCACACCTGTAACTGCCAGCTGAGGGAATTGCGAGCTAACTGTAAAAATTGGTGAAGATGTAGTTAAGCAAAAACACCCATACTGCAAAGGCCTGTGTGTGGGCGGGTAGTGGTTGTCTTGGGGCCAACCATTCCTGTTTTCTGGCTAGTTGCTCTGTGAGTGGGTGCCCTACCCTCAGCCCCTGCTTTCTGAAAACTGTCCTAATTGTTCTCCCTGGTCATCTGGAGCCCAGCTGGCTTCGGCCATGCCCATAGTTCGATAGGCAGGTATTCAGGAAGGCGAGTGGACGGGCAGACATTGTGAGTGGGAAGGTGGGTGGGGGCGCCGGGGTTCTGGCTTGTTATGGACTGTGCCGCAGAGATTGTTATTGTAACATGGAACCAATAATGAAGCTCTCTCCGTGCTGGCCATTTGATCTGCTGTTTTATGTAAGAGGCCAGTGTTCACCAGTGAAGGCAACACAGAATTTATATTGAGAACTGGGCATTCATTTAGATTTTAGGGTTATGTTTATGAGTCCCACCAGGATTGCTGTACTGAACAAGGAATGTGTGAAACTTTTGTTCATGTGGATATACTTTTTTTAAATGACAGCTTTATTGAGATATAATTCACATGCCATACAATTCACCCATTTAAAGTGCACAATTCACTGGTTTGTAATATATTCAGAGTTCTGTAGCCATCACCACAACCAATTTTAGAAAATTTTCATCACCCCTAAAAGAAGCCCATTATTCCTTCCCCCTGCTGGCAGCTACCAGTCTATACTTCCTGTCTCTGTATTTGCCTGTTCCAGACATTCCGTATAGATCTTTGACTTAGAATGCTTTCACGGTTCACCCATGTTTAGTACGTTTCAGGATTTCATTGCCTGTTAAAGCTGAACATTCTACTGTATGTATATATCACTGTTTATTCATTTGTTGATGGATACTTGGGATTTTTTACTCTGACTGTTATGAATAATGTCAGATGTACTTTTAGTGTTTACATGAGGTACTTCAAAAAGTTCATGGAAAACAGAACTGAAAGATAAGTTGAATTTTCCACAAGCTTTTAAAAGTCCTCTCATCTTTATTGCATAATAATAGTAGTGTATAATTATAATGGTGCTAGATGTCTGGACCTTATGAGTTTTGAGAATTACAGCGTCATGAAATACATTTAGAACTAAACTGTACTTAAAGCATAAGCCTTTCTTTGTTCTAGATAACATTTAAAGTTCTTGTATGGCCTATGCTCTTCATTATCAAGAAAAGTTTATGATTCCTTCTTGCTGAGTCTCCTCTCCTGCCTCACCTGTGGCTTTGGCTCTTTCTTCTCAGCTCTTATATGCCATCCTTTCCTTGGGATTCATCCAGACCCTTTCTCCCTGGACAGTCTCATCACCCACCATCTGGGCTTACCGCTGAGAGCTGGAATGGGCACATCTGCATCTCTAGCAAACCTGTCTCCTGTGATCTGCCTAGCCAGGACCCCACCCCCCAGACTCCCTTAAAATACACTTACTCTAACAACCCACTGACCCAGAGCAGCAGCCGTGAGGACAGCAGGATCCTCTGTCACATGCACAAATGTTCCTGGGAGCTGTGAGAGGGGTCAGGAGTGCCCTGTGTCCCTGAGTCTAAGTGAGAAGAGGCCACACCAGAACTGAGTCCTAAGGAAGATGAGTGGGGTGTTCGGGGTGGAGGGGAGGAAATGAACAGTCACTTTCAAAACTACTAGGAGTTGAGCAGTGTTGAGTGACAATGCTTGTAAGCATGGAGCTGGGCAGGCAGAGAAGATTGGGGGTCCATCTGAGGGCTGTGAACTGTAGACCACTGAGAGAATCACTGAAATGTTTTAAGCCAAGAAGTGACCCAAGATCAGTATTCTTGGAAAGATCACCCAGGCAGCAGTGAGAGTATGGATTGGAAAGAGATAGGCCTGAGTCAGGAGTGCAGGTGGAATTCTTGCAGCCCAGAGGACAGGTCAATCTGATGACCTCAGGCACAACCCATAGCAGGTTCCTTTCCTCATTGGAAAGCTATAAGCCATAGACTTATCTGATTTCTCACTGTGCTAAGATTTCCTTAAGGGCCAGGACTATGTCCTCTGTGTCCTGTCATAGTGTTACTCACAGACACTCTATGAATGTGTGCCAGATGGATGCATATTTGTTGGTACAAGGGCTTTAGGGTAGGTATGGGAACTTTGTTCTTTTGCAGTTTTTCTAACTTTGTTATCAGAGTGCTAACAGCTTTTTCTGGTACTGTCAGAACAGTTGCTAGAGGCTGCTAAAGTCACTGAGGTTGGAAAACAAGAATTTGTCATCCCTGTCTGCTCAGTATTAAAGGATTGAATTGTTCTAGGTTGGGGTTTTGTGCAATGATTCAGAAGTAGAAGGAAAGGAAGGGATGAGGATACAGACATCCTAATTTTACAGAGTGTAGTTAAGACATACTATGTATTGAAATAGCCGAGTGAAATGATAGGAAGTCTTAGATTTGCTTTTCTTTTTTTTAGATTTACTTTATTTATTAAAAAGGCAGAGTTAGAGAGGGATATCTCCCTTTCACTGGTTTTTACCAAGTCTGATTAGGCTGAAACCAGAAGCCTACAATTCCATCCAGGTCTCCTACATGAGTGGCAGGGGCCCAAGCACTTCGGCCATCTTCTGCTGCTTTCCCAGGCACTTTATTAGGGAGCTGGATCCAGCCTGGAGCAGTTGGGACTTGAATCAGTGCTCATATGGGACACCAACATCATAGGTGGCAGTTTAACCTGCTGTGCCACAACACTGGCCGCTGGGATTTGCTCTCAAGTAACAGTCATGGGGAAAGTGCATGAAATACAGATGAAACAGTGTTGGCCATGAGCTGATAATTAGTAAGGCTGGATGATGCTTTCTGCTTTCTTAAAAGTTTACAGTTTTCGGAAGACAGGGGGAAGCTTTTGGCCTAGTCATTAAGCCGCTGCTTGAGACACTTGTATCTCTAACTGGAGTGCTTGGGCTCAGATCTGCTCCTAATTCCAGCTTCCTGCTACTACGCCCCTTAGGAGGCAGCAGGAGATGGCCTAAGTACTTAGGTCCCTGTTCACCAACTAGAAGACCTGAAATGAGTTCCTGGCTTCTGGGCTGGCCTTGGCCTTTGTAGGCATTTGGGGAGTAAACCAGATAACAGATACTGTCTCTTTGTGTGTGTGTTTCTCAATGACAACAGGTGAACCAACATAGGCACTAAAAACAGTGCTGTACGGGAAGGAGGGGCAGGGCTGGTGGCCTAAACCATCTTCTGCCAGTAGGAGGTCAGTAAGAGATACCTAAAATTAACTGATCAAGACATAACAAGAGGAGCAAGCTGTGTGATGCAGCAGGTTACGCCACCGTTTGGGACACCCATATCCCAGATCAGAATGGCAGTTTACATCCCGACTGCTCCAGAACTTGTGGCTAGTACTATGTATATTGCAGGTGATAATGAGGACACAGTAACCATATTTAGTGAATCCTGAGTGCATATTTTTTCTTATCTACCATCTCTGAAATCAGATGCTTCTTACAGTCCATTTTAAAAAGCATCTTGTCATAGTTTAATTGACAGTATAATTTTTCTCACAAAATGATACCTCTTTCAGATCGGTGGTACCTTAGATTTGAAGAAATATGTAAGGGGTTATTTTTATATTCCTGGTATGAAGACCTAGCTATATAAAAAAATGAAGTTCCAAGTGATAACCTACTGATTATCAGATGATACTCAATGGAGCAAAACTTGAGACTTTTTTTTTTTTTTTAAGAAAAAAAAGGTCAATATCTTGAAGTGAGTCCATACTGAGCACATAAATGTTGAAGGAGTGAAGGGCACAAAATGAGGCTGCCTGCATTTCAAGCCAACAAGGAGAGCATTGTGTCTGGAGGAGGCACAGCCAAGAAGCAGGCAAACTGATCTGCCCGTCACTAGGGTTGGAGTTGTAGGGTTTTCAGGGGTGAGACTCCAGGAGCACAGGTCTGATGTAAATCGCAGAGGGCAACTTAAGGAGGATGTGCTGAAGCCAAGGAATTGTACTTCCAGTTGGCAACTCAGTAAGCAAGGAAAGTAACTAAAACCATGTTTCTTTAGGTGAAAAAATGTCATTAGTTTGTCTTCAGAATGTAAAGTCCGTCTTCCAGCTTAATTCTTGAAATGAGAAGGCTGGGCCAGTGGTGCTGTGTGTCGTATACATAACCACCCACCTGTTTTTCTGCCACAGATTGCCTTCTCCCAGCACAGCAATTTTATGGACCTGGTACAGTTCTTCGTGACTTTCTTCAGGTAATTTCACTTACTATAAACCATATCTGTCCTTTCAGTTTAATCCCATTGAGTATCAACTCATAAAAGAATAATCTTGTGTTGCCACAGCAGATCACTTACTTTTATGTGTTTCTGAAAAGTTATGTGTCACTTACAGTAAGTAGAAATTCCATCTGGTTTGTATGCTCTCTGGCTTTTGAGGGGTTGAGAGTAGCAATTTGTGGAACCTTATGAAACTGTAACTAGACTTCATATGGGGAGAATTTTGCACTAAAACATTTAATTAATAATGTTTCTGATGTGAGCTACATATATGCTTCTACTCCTTCAAGAGATGATTCTGGGGGCCGGCACTGTGGTACAGTGGGTAAAGGCACCGCCTATGGTGCCAGCATCCCATATGAGTACCGGTTCAAGCCCCAGCTGCTCCACTTCTGATCCAACTCTCTGTTCTTGGCCTGGGAAAGCAGTAGAAGATGACCCAAGGGCTTGGGCCCCTGCACACATGTGGGAAGCCCAGGTAAAGCCACTGGTTCCTGGTTTCAGCCTGGCCTAGCCCTGGCCATTGCAGATGCCTTGGGGGTGAACCAGCAGATGGAAGATCTGTCTCTCTCCCTCTAACCCTGCCTTTCAAGTAAATAAATAAATCTCTTTTTTTTTTTTGTAAAAAAGAAAGAAAAAATATTATACACAAATAATTTAAAGACAAATAGGGGTGTGCATTTGACACAGCAGTTTGGACACTGCTTGGGACACCCACATTCCATATCAGAGTGCCGGGGTTTGAGTCCCGGCTCTGCTCCTGCTTCCAAGACCTCTCCCATCTCTCTACCTTTCAAGTAAGCATAAATAAATATTTTAAAAATTACCAAAAAGACAAATAAGTGCTTATTAGAGAAAACACAGCAATAGTCTGCCTCACACCTTCCCACTCCAGCTTCCTGCCATTTTAAATCGTGTTTGCTAGTATTCTCTGTGTTCCCACGAATTCTTAATTTTTCGTTCAGTTATCCTTTCATGTCCCCTTGTAGAAGATGAGGGTTTACTGTCTTATACTACTTCCTCAACAACTGCCCCACACCACAAATGCAAACAGAATCCCCTTCCTCTTACTCACTTAATGGAGTAATGTTACAGTGCTGGGCTAAACTGATGACCCTCATTTAGCGTACTGTGACCACAAATCTCCTTATCCCAGCTGTAGGGAACTGTGATTATCTCTCCCCATTATTTGAATAGGGGGAAACCCCTCTTTGCTTATCCTAACTATAATCTTTGCCATTTGAGATTTTTTAAAAGTGTTTGATTTATTTTTGAGAGTTATTTATTTATTTATTTATTTGAAAGGCAGAGTTAGAGAGAGAGACAGAGGCAGAATGATCTTCCATCCACTGATTTACTCCCCAAATGACCACAACAGCTGGAGCTGAGCCAATCTGAAGCCAGGAGCCAGGAGCTTCATCTGGGTCTCCCACATGGGTGTGGGGGCCCAACTACTTGGTCCATCCTCCACTGCTTCCCCAGCAGGGAGCTGGATCAGAAGTAGAGCAGCCAGATCTTGAATTGGTGCCCATATGGGATGCCGGTGCTGCAGGCAGCAGCTTAACCCTATCCAGCAGAGTGCTGGCTGTTTGATTTTCTGTGTATCTGTCAGTGATTTATTCCCGTACTGTGACAGAATTGAAACACCACTCTCAGCATGGTTTCAGCTTGTTTTGGAGATTTCTGTCCCAGAACCCTCTTACCTCCTGTCCCCAGTGCACTAGCTCTCCTTGAGGCCTTTTATGTGTCATCAAGGGGATTTCTTTTTTGCCCTTCCCCTTATTGAAGCCTTTGGTTCCCAGACTCTGTATCTTCCTCTTGCTGTATCTCCTTGGTTTTCACTGGCACAGTCTCCAGGAGGTTTCCGAAAGAAGATGCATGAGAAGCCAGAGATTTGACCCTCACAAATTTTCTATTAGAATTTAGAATTCATGGGGCCAGCGCTGTAGCAAAGTGGGTTAACGCCCTGGCCTGAAGTGCTGGCATTCCATTTAGGTGCCGGTTCGAGACCCGGCCGCTCCACTTCCAATCCAGCTCTCTGCTATGGCCTGGTAAGCAGTAGGTCCTTAGGCTCCTGCACCCACGTGGGAGACCCACAAGAAGCTCCTGGCTCCTGGCTTCAAATCAGCGCAGTTCTGGCCGTTGTGGCCAATTGGGGAGTGAACCATCGGATGGAAGACCTCTCTCTCTCTCTCTCTCTCTGCCTCTCCTCTCTCTGTGTAACTCTGACTTTCAAATAAATAAATAAATCACTAAAAAAAAAGAATTTAGAAGTCATTGTGCTATTAATATTGATGATAATACCATTACAATTATATGGAATCTATTTTCTCTCTTTAAAAAATTATTGAAGTATAATTTAAAGTTACAGAAACTTTCACAAATGCCAAGTACCTCCCTCCATGAACTGTCACAAGTTGAATACATTCATGTAATCACTACCCAGAACAAGAGACATAGTATTATTACCAGTAATCTAGAAGCTCCTCTTGTGTGCAAAGGAAAAAGATTTATAGGAGAAACATAAGAAGGCATAATAAAAATGCTAAACTAGTAAGTATTTTAAAGCAAAAATATTAACTCTTCACTAAGACTTTTTAAAGTAGAAAATCAACATGAAAACAAGAATTCTTATACAATAAATTACCAAAAGTCATTTATATTCATTGTAAAACTTTAATATGTACCATATTTTGTTTAACCATTCCTTTTTGACCAGCTCTTAGATTGTTCCCGATATTTTATCGCATGTATCTGTGCATTTTTCAGTGAATATCTTCCTGGGATAGTTTTTTATCCTATGATTGCCATATCAGAATGCAAAGACATAGCCAAAGAGCCACTCAGAACAAAGTTGCATGAGTTTATACTCCTGTAGCAGGAATGAGCCTACTTGTTTCTCTATTCTCCCAGTGTTTATTAGAATAAAAATAGCAAAAAGCAGGATTATTATTGGAAACCAACACTGAGAAAGTTATCCTCAGACTCTTTTACTGGTTCTTCCTTTTTACCCAACATCTCAGTGTTGGGGAGCCCACCCCCTCCTCCAACCCCAAATAATCTCCTCTCTTTTCACTCCTTAGGTGACCCCATCCAGATTTATGAATTGAAATACCATAGATAGGGGGTCTTCAAAAACTTGCAGGAAATGTGAATTAGGAGAAACTATGGAATTCTGATCTACACAAGAACTTTCCCCTTCTGGGTTGATGGCAAGGCCCTCAAGCCAAAAACTCCCAACTGCTCTCCTTCCATACCCTGTATCCACTCCATCAGGAATTCCTCTTGTCTATACCTTCAAATCATATCCAGATTCTGGGCCAGCATGTGGCCCAGCAGGTTAAGCAGCCACTTATGACACTGAAATCCTGTATCTGAGTGCTGGTTCCAGTCCCATCTGCTTTATTTAACTATCCATCTCCCTGCGAAGGCGCCTATAAAGTCAGTGAAAGATGGCTCAAGCACTTGGGCCCCTGCCATCCACATAGGAAACCCAAACAGAGTTCCTGGCTCCTGGCTTCAGCTTGACTCAGCCCCAGCCATTGTGGCCATTTAAGGAGTAAATCAGTGGATGGAAGATCACTTTCTCTCTCTGTCTCTCCCTCTCTGCCTTTCAAATAAATAAAATAAAATAAATCTTTCTAAAAATTACATCCAAATTCCAAAGTACTTTTCACACCCTGCTACTACCATCCTGGGTAGAGTCACCATCATCTCTAACCTAGACTACTGGTCCACTTGGATCTGCTATTGCCACCAAATGATCTTCTCAGCATAAATTAAACCATGACACTTCTCTGCTAAAAAACCTGCACTGGCTCTTTGTCCCAGTGCCTTTATAATGCCTGCAGGGTCCCACATGGTCTGCCCTCCACCCCAGCCCTACCTTTCTGCCTAATTCAGTCCACCACATCCAAGCTGGCTCCTGAGGTTCCTTGAGCCATCCCAGGCACATCCTTGCCTCATGCTTTGCACTGACCCTTTTGTTGAGTGTATTTCTTTTTTTTTTGTTGTTTTTTAAGGTTTATTTATTTATTTGAAAGAGTTTCACAGAGAGAGGAGAGGCAGAGAGAGAGAGAGGTCTTCCATCCAATGGTTCACTCCCCAATTGGCTGCAACAGCCAGAGCTGCGCCAATCCAGAGCCAGGAGCTTCTTCCAGGTCTCCCAGGTGGGTGCAGGGGAGCCCAAGGACTTGGGCCATCTTCTCCTGCTTTCCCAGGCCATAACAGAGAGCTGGATTGGAAGTGGAGTAACCGGGTCTTGAACCAGTGCCCATATGGGATGCCAGCGCTTCAGGCCAGGGTGTTAACTTGCTGCACCACAGTGCTGGCCCGGAGTGTGTTTCTGTAGAAGTTCATGAGCCACACCACACATCCCTCCAAATCCATGCTCAAATGTTGCTTCTCAGGAAGGAAGGTGCACCCGCTCTGACCATCCTGCTCTCATGAGCTGCAGGCACTTACGGGCCCATGTTCCATCTCAACTTTGTTTTTTTGTTTTTATTTTTTAGTGTTTGTTTATCTTCTACTGGAAAGGCAGAACAACAGAGAGAGAGAGAGAGGTCTTTTATCCACTGGTTCACTCCCTAAATGCCTGCAATTGCCAGGGCTGGGCCAAGCTAAAGCCAGGAGTCCTAAACTCCATTCAAGCCTCCCACATGGGTGGCGGGGACCCAAGTACTTGGGCCATCATCTTTTGCCTTTTCAGGTGCATCAGCAGGGACATGGCTCAGAAGTGGAGCAGCTGCAACTCGAGCCAGCACTCCGGTATAGAATGCCAGTGTCCCAAGCTGCAGCTTCACCAACGCCCCTCCTGCTCCTTGCATTTTTATTGCTGTAGCACATCCCATCTCCTGACAGCTTCCATCCTGTGATTCTTACATTGCTTACTGTTTGTCTCCATCTGCTGCCATGTGAACTCTATGAGAACAGTGCTCTTTGTTCTGTTCATTGATGAGTTAGATGATCCTGGAGCAGGTCCTGGCCCAATGAAGTAGCAATTAAAAAACCGTGTAGACTGTCATGAAGGGACAGCAGAGAGGCCCAGACAGGGTAGGAATTGAAAGTTTTCCACTGAGTGATGATGATCCTTGGGCCTTTCAAGGATCTATACCCTTGTGCTTCTTGAAGGCTTCTGCAGGAGCCTGGAGCCTTCACTTTTTGAAAGGGAATTCAGTCATCCCACCATCTTAATAATGCCTTTTCCAGCCGGCTATGAGGGCTGTCTTAGTGTCAGCACCTGGATGCCTTGAGGTGCCATTCAGGAGGTTGACTTCATCCTGTGAAGGCAGAGCTCACAGGCTGGTGCCTGATGGCACAGAGCAGAGAACCTTTTGTCTGCATGCCACTCTCTGAAAAATACTCTGTAGCAGCCCCTTTTACAAGTTAATGAATATAAATGCTGGGTCTTAAATTATTTATAGCACTTACCTAAGAGGGTTGTTCAACTTGTTCTTCCTTTTAACCTTTCTCTTTGCACCCACAGTAGCTTGTATGTGTTTGTTGAAAATTATTTTTATTTTTTTTTCCAAAGAAACCTTTTATTTAATGACTACAGATTTCCTAAGTACAACTTTAGGAATATAGTGGTTCTTCCCCCCTTACCCACCCTCCCACCCCCACTCCCATCCTACCTCCTATTCCCTCTCCCATCCTATTCTCCATTAAGATTTGTTTTTAATTAACTTTATATACAAAAGGCTAACTCTATACTAAGTAAAGATTTCAACAATTTGCACCCACACATACACACAAAATTAAAAAAAAAAAAAACTGTTAGAAAACAAGTTTTACAGTTCTCATAGTAGAACTCATTAAGGACAGAGGCCCTGCATGGGGAGTAAGTACACAGTGACTCCTGCTGTTAATTTAACAGTTGACATTCTTATGTATGATGTCAGTGATAACCCAAGGCTCTTGATATGAGCTGCCAAGGCTATGGAAGCCTTTGAGTCCACAGTCTCCATCAGTATTTAGACAAGGCCATCAGCAAAGTGGAAGTTCTCTCCTCTATTCAGAGAGAAGTACATCCTTCTTTGATGGCCCCTTTCTCCTGGGGTCTCACTCACAGAGATTCTTCATGTAGGAATTTTTTTTGGTGCCACAGTGTGTAGGCTTTCTATTCTTTAAATGCTCTCATGGGCTTTTCAGCCAGACCAAAATGACTTAAGGACTGATTCTGAGGTCAGAGTGCTGTTTAGAGCATTTGTCATTCTATGAGTCTGCTATGTGGACTTTAAAAACCACTCAGTGCCTGTTTTACAGATAAATGAACATTGAAATCATTTGCAGCTCCTAATCTTTTCAAGAAAATTGTTGGCTTATATTTGCATCTTAAATATGTTTTGTTTTGAAAAATGTAGTTTACAAAAGTACCATTAAGGCCGGCGCTGCAGCTCACTAGGCTAATCCTCCGCCTTGCGGCGCCAGCACACCAGGTTCTAGTCCCAGTCGGGGCGCTGGATTCTGTCCCGGTTGCCCCTCTTCCAGGCCAGCCCTCTGCTGTGGCCAGGGAGTGCAGTGGAGGATGGCCCAAGTGCTTGGGCCCTGCACCCCATGGGAGACCAGGAAAAGCACCTGGCTCCTGGCTCCTGCCATCGGATCAGCGCGGTGCGCCGGCCGCAGCGCGCCGGCCGCGGCAGCCATTGGAGGGTGAACCGATGGCAAAGGAAGACCTTTCTCTCTGTCTCTCTCTCTCACTGTCCACTCTGCCTGTCAAAAAAAAAAAAATACCATTAAATATATATTAGCCATACACATAAGTGTCTTCTGTTTCCTTTGTTTACCTCTTCCCTATGAAAAACTGATTGATATTTTAATAAGTAAATTTTCTCATTCTTTTGGAATTGGCCAGTATATGTTAGCTAATTTGATTAACTGATATGCTTGTTAGTGGTTGTAATTTTCGTAGAATTATTTTTCTTACTTAGAATAAGCCACATGGACTATTCTGGTGAAGGGCCAGTAGGAGATCAGGGCTTCTCTGAGTGCCTGCTGGATTGGTGCTGTCCACAGGGTAACACAGGCAGCTCAGCTCACTGAAGGCTTGTCACACTTTGCTTCCTGTGAACCGGGACATTGTTGTGAGGAAACATCAGAAAGGAGCTGGGATATCAGGATTGCTTTGCTGCCTGTCCTGAGGTGCGGATGAAGGTGGTGCCGATTCTGAGGCCTGGGATGCTAACTCAATACTTTGCTTCCTCACAGCTGTTTCCTCTCTTTGCTTTTGGTGGCTGCTGTGGTTTGGAAGATCAAACAGAGCTGTTGGGCCTCCAGGCGTAGAGAGGTAAGCCCCAGTGACTATAGCCTGAGATCCCTGTAAGAGCATTTCCCCTCTTTGTCACTCAAGCAAGTCAGTATTAACTACTTACTGAGTGAAAGACATTGCCGCAGTAAGAACGCTCTCCTTCTGCAGTGTCCGGATCTACAGACATGTGGTCAGTAGACTTCGATTTGTGTTCTCTGAAGTGGAATTAATTGTGCACCACAACGTTTGACCTTTCTAAAAGAAAACTGTAGTGTTGACTTCATGATGACAGTTTTATCCCCTTCCTACCAGATCCTAGTGCCCTTGACTCAGCTAGGAAATCTGAGGGCTTACTGTTGTGGCCATGGTCACCATTTCATTTGGCATGGCCTTCACCAGAGCTTTTCATAAGAATGAGAATGAAGTTAGCCATTTAAGCACCTCAAACATTTTCACGACTCAAGGAAATGTAATTGTGTGTAAGTTTTTATCTTTGTTTTATTTTTTAACAAGTATTGAATTGTTTACAGAGCTCGTTTCCAAAAGCAGTAAGTCAAGCAAATATTTACAATTGAGAAATTCAAATAAATAAGCTTGGTTTTAAAATTCTAGCAAAAACAGTATTGCAGCATTCACTCCCATCCTGACTGCCTTTCTTTTGGCCATCGTGTTTGCTGCATTGTTGCTAATGGAAGTTTCAGACATTTAGGATCTAGCCTTGGATGCTTTCCTTGATTTTCTGTAACTACTCAATCCTTTTTCTACATAAAAATTTATACATGAAATTTAGGAGAGAATGGGGTGAAATTTAGAAGAGGATGAGAGTAAAATTGCAGCTCACAAGCTGTCAGCACTATTTGTAGAACATTTGTGTCTGTGAGGCTAAGCAAGGCTCCAGGCTACCAGCCTGTTCCCGTGGACCACAACAGCCACTTTTCTGATGTTTGTAAGGAGGATGTTATCAGAAAGAAAATGTTGTATTCTCTTTGTAATTATTTTTAAAATTCAAAGGATAGCATACTTAGAGGGTTTTTTAAAGATTTATTTTATTTGAAAGAGTTAGAGACAGAGAGAGGTCTTTCACTCACAATGCCAGCCTCAGAGGATTTTTTAAAGAGCTTGGTTACCGATACATTTTATAATCCCAACGAATTATAAGACGTTGAGAGAGATACATATAGTTATCAAAATGAAGTAAGAAAGAAGTAGAAAGCCACAATAAACCTGTAACCAGGAAAGGAACTGAGAACTCTTCAGTGTTACTCTCTTTAGGAAAAGCTTGAGACCCAGGAGTTTGAGTACTGAGATGAGCTTATGGGGCTAATGACAGCATTCATCTCGTGGGATTTTTTTTTAGTAACTTGCTTTTTTAAAAAATTTATTTGTTTGAAAGAGTTACACAGAGAGAGAAAGAAAGGTATATAGAGAGGTCTTCCATCCGCTGGTTCACTCCCAATTGGCCACAACAGCTGGAGCTGCGCCAATCTGAAGCCAGGAGCCAGGAGCTTCTTCCAGGTCTCCCACATGGGTGCAGGGGCCCAAGGACTTGGACCATCTTCCACTGCTTTCCCAGGCCATAGCAGAGAGCTGGATTGGAAGTGGAGGAGCTGGGACTCGAACCGGTGCCCATATGAGATGCCGGCACTGTAGGTGGTGGCTTAACCCGCTATGCCACAGCACTGGCCCCAGAATGTTTTTGAGAATTGTCTATTTCAAAACCTGTAAACTAGCCGGCGCCGTGGCTCAATAGGCTAATCCTCCACCTTGCGGCGCCGGCACACCGGGTTCTAGTCCCGGTCGGGGCGCCGGATTCTGTCCCGGTTGCCCCTCTTCCAGGCCAGCTCTCTGCTATGGCCAGGGAGTGCAGTGGAGGATGGCCCAGGTGCTTGGGCCCTGCACCCCATGGGAGACCAGTAAAAGGTACCTGGATCCTGGCTCTTGCCATCGGATCAGCGCGGTGCGCCGGCTGCAGCGGCGGCCATTGGAGGGTGAACCAACGGCAAAGGAAGACCTTTCTCTCTGTCTCTCTCTCTCACTGTCCACTCTGCCTGTCAAAAAAAAAAAAAAAAAAAAAACAACCTGTAAACTTTTTCAGAGCAAAGGAAAAGGTGAAAAGCTTAAAAGATTCCTAATCTACTTTATGCATAGGAGTCCTGATACTGGGGCTGGCGCTGTGGCATAGCAAGTTAAACCACCACCTGAGACACTGGCATCCCATATGGGCACCAGTTCATGTCCCCGCTGCTCCACTTCTGATCTGGCCCCCTGCTAATGGCCTGGGAGAACAGCAGAAGATGGCCCAAGTGCTTGGGCCTCTGCACCCATGTAGGAGATCCAGAAGAAGCTCCTGGCTCCTCGCTGTACCCTGGCCCAGCCTTGGCTGTTGAGGCCATCTAGGGAGTGAACCAACAGATGGAAGATTCCTCTCTCTCTTTCTCTCTCTCTCTTTCTCCCTCTCCCTAACTCTGCCTTTTAAATCAATAAAAATTTTTAAAAAAAAATCCTGATACTGTGACCTGGCATCAGAAAATAATCATGTATGAGCAGCCCTCAGATTGCCAATATAAGAAGATAAATCAGAAAGCCTATTAGAGTACATCCTATCATTGCATTAAATATGGCACCTAACTTCTTGGTAGAGGCCTAATACCCACTATTCACATATTAAAATTCAATAGCTATTTCTAATTTAAAAACAAAACTTTTATTGAACTCAAAAATACTTTTTTAGCACTGTGAACAATGGAGATGGTCAGCATCACTCATGATGAGAGCACACCAGCAGAATTATTATAGTAGCTAGCGTTTGAACATATCTGAGTTCCAGGCACCTTTCTGAATGGTTTTACATTGACTAATTAATTTAATCCTGATACCAACCCTGCTAAACCGGCTGTGTTTTCCAGATGAGGGAGCTGAGGCTTAGGGAGGCCAAGTAACTTCTGCAACCTCCTGAAGCTACTAAGGGTCTTCGCCCTTCACAGCTGGTTTCTCAGTCATCATGTAGTACCCAGTTGCTTGACTTCACTTGACTTTGTTCAAGAAGTTCTTGACCGTGCACAAAAAGAAAGAGAAATTAATTTTGTTACTATTGGGAAGAAGAAAATTACTATTTAAGACTATTGAGATATAATCGAGATTTGCCTGCATAAAAATTAAGTGTATCAGAATTAATGAATGAGTGACACAGGACACAAACAACTAATTAGAAAATAATTTGCAATTTACATAGAATATAAGGAGGTGAACCCCCTGTAGAATAAAGATTTGCTAAAAAATATGCCTGTTGTGCAGTTGATCGGCCAATAATGTAAGCCTTTTGGCTTTATAATTTGGGACTTACCTGTAACTGCAGACCTGACCATTGAGAATGTATTTCATCATTTCTGAAATGTCAATCGTGATATATTCCCCCTCAGAATTACAGAAGAAACTGTTTGATGTTACTGATAACAGTAACAGCACAAATGACACTGTTTAGGCCTCTTTAAGTGTTTTATACATATTGTCTCCTGCCCTGTCCATAAAGCAACTAGAGAAGGGTGGGAACCGTCTTCGTGTAACCCCAGCACTTACAGTAGCACAGAACCCCATCTAGGGTTGCTGCATGGATTTGTTGAGTAAATGAACCAACAGCTTTGTGAAATGAAGGACTGTTAACTGGTATTTTAAGAAAATGTTTCATAAAAGTGCCATTCTAGAACAGCGTCGATTTATTCCTGCCCAAACCCTGTCTCCTACAGTATTCCAAAGAGGTAGTTTGAGGAAAGACCATTTATTCCCTGTTACATAGCCTTGGAGCTTCAGCAGCCAGCCCAAAAGGTCTCTGAATACTCATTCACCATGGGGCCGTATCATCTCTTGTGACCCCTGTGACAATCTGATGGCATCAGAACCCATCTCAGAGAGGAAGCAGCTGAAGCCCAGAGACTTCAAACGCCTTTGAGAAGGTCGCATGGCTGGAGCAGGATTCACTTTCAAGCCTTCCTAAATCTAGAGCCCTTGCTGTCCCGGTGCTGCCTTGCAGTTTATTTGGGTTTCTAGTTAGCACTGCCTTTGGAAGTGAGGATCTCTCTCAGTTCCTCTCATTTCCAACAAAATTTAAAGTTCCTTCTGTGTTCTGACCATCACACAAGTGTCATTTTGGACTTGGTTTTCTTTGAAGCGTTGACTGACACAGTCCCCCTCAGTCCTGATTGTATTATTGCTCACTGTGTTGCTCACCAGCAACTCCTCCGAGAGATGCAGCAGATGGCCAGTCGTCCCTTTGCCTCCGTAAACGTCGCCTTGGAAACAGATGAGGAGCCTCCTGATCTTATTGGGGGCAGTATAAAGGTGAGAGTGTGACTCGTGTCCCAGGCTTCTGAGTCTGAGAAACCAGAGCATGCAAGAGCCTTCCTCTGTTACCTCCTGTTTCTCCCCTCCCTTCCTTTCAACAGTACGCTAAAACACGGAAGCTGCCGGGTGTTGATTTGCTTTTGCTTTCCAGTCTTTGATCCATGTCATTGAGCAGCTTTATATTCAGGGGATTTTAAAATATAAATGATTTGTCTGATATTCTTTTAATTATTCTGTGGTATAATATGACTACTTTAAAAATTGTATTTGTAAATAAGTGTAACCATTGTTAATTTGTTTTTTTTTTTTTAAATAGCATCTTACTGGGGGGAGTATAAAGGTAGGAGTGTGTATTCTGTGGAAAATAGGTATTTCTGACACCACTGCCCAAACAATGAAGAAAATGATAAGGTTTTCTCTTTGGCAAAATGATGAAATATTTCATATACTCAGGAAACAATGTATGTATGCCCTGATCAAAATATACTTCTGAAAGCATTACTGGGTTCATAAAGTAAGTCAGAGCCCCAGGCTCTATTCCCCTTCCCCACAAAAGGAACAAACCATGAGTTATCCAAAGTGGTCCCAGATTGGCCACATACCACAACCTGTAGCTGAAATAGATGTCAGTCCTCCCTGTAGGAAAATACCCCAGTTCAGCCCCGTACGATTCCCACAGATCAGGATCCAGCAATTAGAGCTCCCCAAGATCAGGAAAAGGCAAACCACCCTGAGCAAGAGCAGCAGAAACAATATGCGATGGTTTGATGCAGGACTTCGGGTGTTAGTGTTGACACCTCAAGAATACAACTGTGCATGAGATGCTTAAAGAAATAAAAGAACTGGCGCCGGCATTGTGGTACAGCAGATAAAGCCACTACCTGCAATAGCAGCATCCCATATGGGTGCCAGTTCCTGTTCTGGCTGCTTTGCTTTTCTTCTGGCTCCCTGCTAATGGCCTGAGAAAAGCAGCAAAAGATGGCCCAGGTGCTTGGCCCCTGCCACCCATGTGGGAGACCCAGATGAAGCTCTTGGCTCCTGGCTTCAGCCTGGCCCAACCCTGGAAGTTGCAGCCATCTGGGGAGTGAACCAGCAGATGGAAAATTTCTGTCTGTCTCTCTCGGGCGCGCGCGCTCTCTCTCTCTCTCTCTCTCTCTGTAATTGTTTCAGAAAATAAATCTTAAAAAAAAAAAATAGACCAGCACCGCGGCTCACTAGGCTAATCCTCCGCCTGCTGTGCCGGCACTCCACGTTCTAGTCCCGGTTGGGGCACCAGATTCTGTCCCGGTTGCTCCTCTTCCAGTCCAGCTCTCTGCTGTGGCCCAGGGAGGGCAGTGGAGGATGGCCCTTAGTGCTTGGGCCCTGCACCCACATGGGAGACCAGGAAGAGACATCTGGCTCCTGGCTTCGGACTGGTGCAGCGCTGGCCGTAGCGGCCATTTTGGGGGTGAACCAACAGAAGGAAGACCTTTCTCTCTCTCTCTCTCTAATTCTAACTCTAACTCTAACTCTAACTCTAACTCTAACTCTAACTCTACCTGTCAAAAAAAACTAAAAATAAATAAATAAATAAAAGAATCATAAAGCTGAAGAAGCTATGAGAGTCCAGAGTGATCACACAGATGTTGAAAGGAACCAGAAGAACATCAGGGAATAAAAGACATAGCAAATGACATTTTTAAAATAAATAAATACATCATTTTACATACTACCCAGTACGTCAAACACAGATGAGACAAATGAGGAGTGAATTTATGAACTGGAACGTGAATCTTAAAAAACTACACAGAATGCAATACAGAGAGACAAGAAAACGGAAAATATGACAGAGGATGGAATTAGAGACCCAATATATGTATTTTCAGAGTGCCTGAACAAATGAGGGGAAGCAATTTTGAAAGAGAAAGTAGCCAAGAAGTTTTCAGAACTGATAGGAGACGTGAGTATGCAGATTTTAAAAGCAATTCATACACAGAGGATTAAAGAAAGAAAGGAAGATGGAAGGCAAGAAGACAAGACAACTACAGTTGGATTAATCATAGTTAAACTGCAAAATTCCAAAGGCAAATAAAATATCTTAAAATGAGCCAGAGGGGGGAAAAAAAAGATCACCTTCAGTGTGACAAATTGGAAGCCTTTTACACAGTTGATGGAAAAGTAAAATGATGCAGCAGGGGCCAGCACTGTGGCACAGAGAGACTGCATCACATACTAGGGTGCCAGTTCGAGTCCTAACTGTTCCTCTTTCCAGCTGGGTCCTTGCTAATGTATCTGGGAAGGCTGCAGAAGATGGCTCAAGTGCTTGGGTCCCTGGCACCCATGCAGGAGACTCAAATGGAGTTTCAGGCTCCTGGCTTTGGCCTGGACAGCCCCAACTGTTGCAGCCATCTGGGGAGTGAATCAGCAGATGAATCTCTCCCACCCTCCCTCCCCCCTCCCCCTTTTCAAACAAATAAATCTTTAAAATGATGCAGCCACTGTGGAAAACAATGTTGTTGTTGCTTAAAAATTAAAAACAGAATTACTGTATGATCTAGCAGCTCTGGTTCTGAGTGTTCCCAAAAGAATTGAAAACAGAGTCTCAAAGAGATGTTTGTATGCTAACGTGCATGGCAGCATTATCCACAGTAACCAAAACCTGGAAGTAATCCAAGTGTCTATCGATGAATAAATGTATACACAAATGTGGTATACACATAAAATGAAACATTAGTCTTAAAAAGGAAGAAAATTATTTTTAAAAAAGCTTTATTTATTTGAAAGGCAGTTACAGAGAGAAGGAGAGAGACAAAGAGATCTTCTATTCCCTGGTTCACTCCCCAAATGGCCATAATGCTGGGCCAGAGCCAGAAGCTTCATCTGAGTCTCCCCTGTGGATGGCAGGAACCCAGGTGCCTGGGCCATCTTCCACTGCTTTCCCCAGCACGTCAGCAGGGAGCTGGATGGGGAGAGGAGCAGCCGGGACTTGAACCAGCTTTCATCATTATTGCTTATGGCAGCTTAACCTACTACACCACAACACCAGCCTCAGGAGGAAAATTCTTGACATATGCCACACATGGATCAACCTTGAGGATTTTATGCTAAGAAAAATAACCCATTTGTGATTCTTCTTTAGAGAAATTATGAGTCCACTTATTAGATGCCTAGAATAGTTATATATATATAGTAGTCTGACAAAGACATACAAAAGGATGCTGCTTGTCATGGGCTGGGGAGGGGAGAGGAGGGAGTTGGTGTTTCAGTTTTGTAAGATGAAATAGTTCTAGAGATGGATGGTAATGATGCCTATACAGCAACGTGAAAGGACTTGGTGCCACTGAACCATTCACTTAAAAGTGGTTAAGATGATAAATTTTACATGTATTTTATGATTTTTTTCAATTGTGAAAAGAAAAGATCACTTACAAAGGAATGACAAATAGCTGACTTCTCATTGGTAACATCAGAAGCCAAAAGAGAATAGAAGAATGTCTTCAAAGTACTGAAAGAGGAGAGCTGCCAGCCTGTAATAGTGTGCCCAGCGAGCAGACTCCAAGAATAAGGATAAAGCTATCTACAACTTAGAAAAAAGCCTGAGAATTTTCTACCAATAGAACTATACAAAAGAAATGTCTAAAGAATGTGCTAGAAATAAGGACAATTACCCTAGGAGGATGGACTAAGATGGAAGGAGGAATAGTGAATATATAAAACTGTAAATATGTACATAAATCTAAACATTGTCTTGATAAAGTATTGAATAACATTGTGTGTGTCAGCAGTGTCACACAGTTATTCCTGAAAGTACCTTCTCGGGGTCGGTGTTGTGGTGCAGTGGATTAAGCTGCTTCCTTCAACACCAGCATCCCATATGGGCACCATTTCAAGTCCCAGCTCCCTTCTAATGTGTTCTGGAAAGCAGTAGAGGATGGTTCAAGTTTGGCCCCTGCCACTCATGTGGAAGACCCAGATTGAATTCCAGGCTCTTAGCTTCAGCCTAGCTCAGCCCTAGCTGTTGTGGCCATTTGGGGAATGAACCAGTGGATGGAAGGTCTCTTTCTCTGTCCCTCCCCCTCTCTCTTAACTCTTTCAAACAAATAAATATTTAAAAAATAAAATACCTTCTTACTTTCCTTCCAGCACACATGCACTTGCCTTCTGAGTGTCCTTGCTTGGTGGTCTTTGCTTTATCCTCTGCATCTCCACAACTTCTTTTCACAGTGGTGCGCCCGAGGCTCAGCCTTCAGCCTCTTCTTGTGTCTTACAGCCACTCTCTGGTGATCTCCATCGTGGATTTCTTTCTTTCTTTTTTTTTTTTTTTTTTTTTTTTTTTTTTTTTTTGCTTTTTACAGGTAGAGTTATAGACAGTGAGAGACAGAGAGAAAGGTCTTCCTTCCGTTGGTTCACCCCCAAAATGGCCACTACAGCTGGCGCTGCACCAGTCCAAAGCCGGGAGCCAGGTGTCTCTTCCTGGTCTCCCATGTGGGTGCAGGAGCCCAAGCACTTGGGCCGTCCTCCACTGCCCTCCCCGGGCCACAGCAGAGAGCTGGACTGGAAGAGGAGCAACTGGGACTAGAACCCTGCGCCCATATGGGATGCCAGCGCTGCAGGCAGAGGATTAACCAAGTGAGCCACAGCGCCAGCCCCCTCCATCATGGATTTCAACACCATGATCCTCTCCCATCGGACCCTGACTCATACATCCAAGGCTCATCTCTGTCCCCACCTGGATGTTGAAACAAGCATCTTAAACCTAATTTGTCCAAACTGAGCTCTGAATGTTTATTTCCCATACCTGCACCTCTGGCCTATCATCCCCCACTCAGAACAAGGATCACCACCATCATTCTAGTTGCTCAGATGAAAATCCTGGGGTGGTCCTTGACTTGCTCTTGTCCTTGCTCTTTCACTGGATGGCCAGTCTGTCAGTGAATCTTCCTGACTCTGTCTTCAGTAACATTTCCCAGCCACTGCCGTCCACATCTGGATTTTTGCCATTGCCTCATAACTGATTTCCCCACATCTGCCGCTTCACCCATGTAGTCACTTCCCCTGTGCGTACTGGAAGTGATTGTCTTCAATCAAATAGAGGAATTGACCATATATTTGTGGATATGGTAGACTGAATTCTAAAGGTCATCCCCAAGATTGCTGACCCATCAAGTAGGTACTGCTTACAGTAGTACTGAGCTGTAATGAGAGTCCCAAGGGAATTGACCTTACGCTGCAGAGTTCCTCTGGGTGGCAACAGAAGAGGAAACTGGAGAGATCTAAAGCATGAGAAAGACCTGGTGCATCATCACTGGTTTGAAGACAGCTGGGGCCACGTGAGAAGGAATGTAGGTGGCCTCTAAGAGACGAGGAATGGCCCCTGACTGACAGCTGGCAAGGAGGTAGAGACCTGTGACCAACAGCCATGAGCATTGGATTCTGCCAATACCCTGAATAAGTCTGAAGCAGATTCTTCCCCAGAAGCTCCAGTTGAGAGCCCCCCACCCCCAGCCAACAACTCAACTTCAGCCTTGTGAGGCCCCTGTGAGATAATAGCTAATGACTTTCTAGAACTGATTGAAGACATGAATAGGCCTGTATCTTTAAGCAGAGACCCCTATAGAGCTTTCCTGGACTTCTGACCTACAAAACAGTGATCTAATAAATGGGCATTGCTTTAATCAACTAAGTTTAGTGATTTGTTACACAGCAATAGAAATTAATATCGGGACCAGCATTGTGGCATTGCAAGTTAAGCCACTTCCTACGATGTTGCTATCCGATATGGACACCAGTTCACGTTCCAGCTGCTCTACTTCTGATCCAGCTCGCTGATGATGCACCTGGGAAGGCAGCAGAGGATGGCTTGAGTACTTGGGCCCCTGCACCGATGTGGGAGACCCCAATGAAGCTCCTGGCTTCAGCCCTGTCCAGCCCAGGCCGCTGTGGCTATTTGGAAGGTGAACCAGCAGATGGAAGATCCCTCTCTCTGTAATTCTGCCCTTCAAATAAATAAATAAATATTTAAAAAGAAAGAAGGGAGAGAAGGAGGGAACTAACTTGGGGCATCTTTTCAAATCACATCCAAAGGCTGCAACAGAAAATGAAGACATGCATGTATTTACCAGAGCCAAATGTTTCCAAAGAATAGATGAGGGATCTGTGTGGTTGGCCGCGAGGTTTTACAGTTCTCACAGCCAGTGAGCCTACCTCGTGTCTCAGGGGCAGATACAATAAGTTTGAATTATGAACAGACGTCTCCATCTGCCACATCTGCCACATCTGCCACACACTCGCTGCCCTTCCTGTGACTGTATGCAGTTCTAAGTGGGGATTTTAAACTGAGTAAAAGTGCAGAGAAAAACCCCAACGACACCAACTCGCTGAGGACGCTTCCCTGCACTCAGGCAGTGCCCTGGGCAGGGAGACCTGGAAACCTGCATGGAGGAAGCCGGCAGGCCACAGCCGTGCGCTCGGGCACCACTCACCGTCACAGGCCACTGTTACGGTCTCCAAGACTGTGATGGATCTGTTTCTCTGCCTCAAACTGATGGTCTCTGTAAGAAGTGCTAGTGACTGTGTCTCTGTGCATTGGGTTAACCCTTAAGAAGCACCATGCCAGCTAATTCTTTGTTTTTAATTTTTTTGTTTTCTTCCCCAGACCGTCCCCAAGCCCATTGCACTAGAGCCCTGTTTCGGCAACAAAGCCGCGGTCCTGTCTGTGTTTGTGAGGCTCCCTCGTGGCCTGGGTGGGATCCCACCTCCTGGGCAGTCGGGTGAGTAGATGGATCTGTAGCAGGCACGCGGGGGACTGTGCGGGAGCTAAGTGTTGGGTATCCCACTTCACGGAGAACTGAGGGCAGAGGCCGTACTGAACAGTGGCTGCCTCAGGGCATGGGCAGCGCGAGGTGACTCACTCTTGTCATTTGTGTCCACAAAACAGTTTCCTTGAGGTCATTGTTCCCTTCTGGGGCAGGGGATGTCCCCTTCTCACTGGGCCTGGCTCCCTCAGCCTCCCCATGGCCTCTGACCACAGCTTTTTTTTTTGCCATCGATGTTTCTAGTCCTCCTTGGCTGCCCTGCTCCTTCCTGCTGCCTCGTCCTCATTCTGCCCTCACGTGTCACCCTTCTCCCCCTTCTCCCTGATATCTGCTCCACTGCCCAGCTGTCTTCTCAGCGCTGGTCACTCGCAAATGGGAATTTCCAGCCCATTTCCAGCATTTCTTTGGCTTTTATCCCTGTTTTAGATATAAAGCACAAGCAACCGTTGTCATAACATACAGGACATTTTTAAGGACCCACTCAGTCCTACCCTAGAGTCTACCAGTGTCCTGTTTTCTCCTTTCTACCCCCTGCCAGCAGTTTTGTGGAAGTGATGACTGGATGCATCTCATTTTATTTTTTCACATAATTATGATAAACATTTTTGTAGCTTACTATATTTTCTCCAATGTCATTTACACTGTTCCACCAGATACATGAATCATAATTCATGTAAAATCCTCTTAGCTTGAACATGTGGGAAATCTGGAATGTGGTTTTGGAAATATCCTGATGAACCATGAGATGCTTTGTAGGGAGGCCTCCGAGAACGTGAGTGTGTTGGACACGATTCAGTTGAGGTGATTAACCTTGAGTCTAAGGAAAGCACAAGCCTAGGAGCCTTGTCCGGGCTCTGAGCCCCACTTCCCCTCAGTCCACCTTGAATTCAGAAGACCTCCAGCTCAGCTTCCAGGATGGGACCTGTGCTTCCTCACCAGGGAGCCTCTCAGGCATGGAGAGGCTGGTTTTATTTCCTTCATTGCACTTCGGGATTCCTGACACTCAAGACCCTACATCAGTCTTGCCCATGCAGGGTAGGCAGTGTCTGCCTGGCTCAGCAGACATTGGCCAATGCCTAGGGCAAGGCACTGGCTAGCATGCAGAGCTGACAGGTTTGCAGTGCTGCGGCCTTTCCTGCCCCACACCGACACTGGGGCTGTCCTTGCCACTCCCCCTCCCCTATTTTATATGATGCTGTTTTCTGGATCTCCAGGGTACCTGGCTCTGCTTTTGCCCTAACACCATGACATGGATTCACACAGCATGCCAGGCACTAAATCAAATCCCCCCCACCCCGCGCTAGGTATAGGCCCAGCAGGGTGGAGGAATAAGCTCTCCAGCACAGGTCCAGGGGGCAGTCTCGGCAGGCCCTGAGCCTGGGCTGGCGATTTCTCACACGGGTTAGGAATCCAGCTCCCCCAGAACCGCGCCTTCCCACGTGGAGGCCAGGTTAATTGCTTACCAATGTAAAAAGGAGAATGGGACTGCAGAGGTGAGGGTGGGGGTGAAGGATGTAGAAGGTCCTAGGACCTGTTTAGGTGACTCGACTGTTGTCGAGTCACTCATGGACTCATTGGCCCTGAGCTGTCAGTATCCCCATTTCACAAATGGTCTGGGAAGATAAAGAACCTTGCCGTTCCCAAGTCTGGCCTGCCCTGAATTGTTTGTTTGTAAAAGCGACTCAGGCTGACTGCGGGATGTGGGATGATGCTGAGTGTCACTGGAAAGCCCGTGCTTTTGCTAGGCACCCTCCTGGAGGCAGGCAGGAGACTGAGTGCCCAGAGCCTGTCTGCAGCCCCGTGTGTGTGCTCCCTGGCAGAGCACCCGGCCTGCCTGTTCTGCTGAAAAGAATGAGGAGGGCAGGAGGGTCTGTCTGTGTTCACGTGAACTCTGAAAGAACAGATAAAAAGTACTAAAAGGGTTGACGAGGTGGAAGAGGGAAGATGGTGGGAGGGACATGGTGGAACTAAGACTTTTTTCCTATATACCTTTTTTGGGGTGGGTGGGTGGGGCAACATGGGAATCAAAAGGAAATTTAGTTATTTTTAAAAACAAAAGCAATCTCCTCTTTAACATGTGTTCCCTCTTGGGTTCTCCCAAGGTCTCGCCGTAGCCAGCGCCCTGGTGGACATTTCTCAACAGATGCCAATAGTGTACAAAGAAAAGTCAGGAGCAGTGAGAAACCGGAAGCAGCAGCCCCCTGCACAGCCTGGAACCTGCATTTGATGCTAGGGCCAGAGACTGTCCTGGGCACGCGTGTGCGCGACACACCACAGCTGTCTGCAGGGAAGGGCGCAGGCAGGGAGACGCTGTGTGGTGCGGGCCAGAAGACTGGAAACCCTTGAAGCATCTGACTCATCTGCATGATCACAAGCTTTCTTTGACGGTTCCTCCCATCCATGTTCCAGCATCTAACCTTTTACTTTTGCATAGGAAATAATTGATTTAGTTCCTAGACCCAGGGATGGTCCGAGTTGTTGCTCAAGGAGGCCAGTGTAGAGCCGGTGAGAGAGCTAGGAATGACACTCAGGTTCACTGTGGAAAACCGTTCTCGGGACTGTCTCAGTTGTGCAAAAACAAAAGATGGAGAGTTTACACGTGGACTTTCATCATCAGTCATTCTTGCACATGGTCTTTTAAGGACTGGTCAGGTGAATTAACTTGTTTTCATCTGAAGCCTGCTATCTTTTTAAAAAAGATGTGCCAGTTATCCTTGCACAATTTAGACAGGCATCTCTCTTCCAGAGAGTGGCTTTTTTCTAGTTGAGAATTAATAATGGTCCATCTCTTTGGAATCATAACAAACTAGGATAGAAGGGGGCTATTTTAAATGTCAAGGTCAGCAGTGTTACTTAGAATGTAAACAGATGTAGTGTGTAGTTTTCTGTAGCAACTTGATTAATTTAGTCTTAATCCATTTGAGAGTCTTGCTCCCTTTCTCTCTCTCTCGTAACACAGACACACACACACACACACACACACACACTAAGTGCCTAGACTTTAAATAGATCTAGCAATTGGAAAGTTAGTAAGCCTAAGTTTTTACATAATTGCATTCCTACATTCTTGTAAAATTTAAATAGCTACCATTGGCAATCTGCTGTTTTTCTAAAATCTGATTTGCAGCCAGGAAAGAATTTTCTCACCCCAAGGAACATTTGACCTAGCAGCAGCAGCAGGAACTGAGAAGAAAGCAGAAATAAGCTAACTGTAAAAGCTCCTGTTTATATTGTCAAAAAGGACAGTCAAGATGATGCGGTCTCCACACACCACCCGCCCCCACCATGTCCCTGTGGGCCTGAAACTGGGCACCACGGAAGAGAGGACTCACAGGTGACACGTGTCTGCTCTGAGCGGGAAAGAGACTGAGCACTTGGGATGCCTGATCAAAGAGCCACTCTGTTCCCGTGGCCTGCTCTGAACTCATGGGCCATTCTTTAGGCAAGGGGTAGAGTCAACACCTGGAGCAGGACCAAGGAGGGGCTCGCCCACCCATCCTCCTTCCCAGACCCAGGTGGTGGTTGTGAGGAGGACAGAGGATGCAAAGGATGAAAAGCACATGGAAGACATGGACTAGGAGGGAAAACTCCACAAATGGATAATGAGCAATTTAAGGAAAGTAGGTGTTCTTCCCCCAGGGCACTGCCTGGATGTTGGGTTTTCCCCATTCATGGTGCTTTGTATTCTGGCATTAAGCAGCAGCCTCCCAAGGTCTCTCTCCTGCTCCAAAACCTAGGTTTCTCTGGCATTACTTTATCTGGATGACCCTCTGGACAGAAATGCTCACGTTTGAGAATCTGGAGAAAGTAATACTCAAAGGAGCAAAAATTGGCATTTCACCTTAAAATGTGGTGCCTAGAGAGGGAGGATTATCACCTCCCCCAGACTGCCCCTACTCCTAGGAAGAACTGCCTGGAAGAAAGTGGCGAGGAAGTTGAACCACAAAACACTGATGCACAAAGCACCTCTACTTTGGGACTCCCCTCTCACATAGCTTCTTTTTCACATCATTATTAAAGAGCAGACGTTTCTAGAAAAAGACCGCCTCCTGTTGTGAGCTCCCCACATGCCTACCCCAGAACACAGCTCCCGCAGAAAGCATGTGTACTGGTCCTTCACCCTCGTCATTACCACACAGCCTCTTGGTGACAAAAAGAGGGAGGCCACTGGGGATTGCCCTCCTACAAGGAAGATTTCTCCTGTTTGCTCAAAGGCCAGTTTTCCCCTGGCCAAAGAAGTCTCTTCCCCATGCTGGTCACATGCCTTGAAATAACAAGCACCATGACACCCAGGCTCCTGAGTCTTTTTCCCCTTAAATGATAGTGTTTATTTTTAAAAAAATTTAAAAAGGAAGGACAGGGTAGTGAAATTAAATCTCCTCCAACAGTGGAGGAACAGCTTCGTGCTTCCCCTTTGCACCCAATAGCAAACACCTTCCTCTGAGCCCAGGGCATGGAAATGGAGTGGCAGGCATGAGAGAAACTCGGCTTAGAGCCAGTTCCCAAGGGCGCCGTCATCTGGTCGCTGAGTGTCCCAGGAGAGCGTGTACATTAGATAGTCACGGAAACATCCACCTTGCACTTGTACATAACTACAGTAGTGTCCAAGATATGCAGACGTTTGGACTGTACATAAAGCAGAAAAATATCTTAATGTATTTTTATTAAACATAAAAGCCTAACAATGCCTGGGCATCAGCTGCAGCGGTTTGGTGCCATATACTAGATATCTAAGTTCTGAGAAGTCCGCTCGTCAGGCCCTGAGCTGTGAACAACAAAGCCAAGGGATGCATCTGGTACCTGTCGGCTAACTCCTGAAATAGGACTCTCCCATCAGAAGGCAGGCGAAGCGCCCGGCGGGGAGCCTGTTGGAGCAGCGTGTGGGCATGAGGAGATGCCAGCAGGACGGCGGGGCTCGGGCACTGTTGTGGCTCAGAAAATCCAGTGGGGATCCTTGCGGCAGCCTCATGGTGCTCTGGGTGTTGGGAAGACTAGTCTCGCCTGGAGAAATGTTCTCGGTCTTTCTGTTTGAAGACTGTAACTCATGGAAATCACACTTTCCAAAGAGGAGTTTTCTCAGCTACGGGTTTTGGGGTTTTTTGTTTTGTTTTGTTTTGTTTTTGAGATTTTGTCTGAACTTATAATGACTGTTCCTGAGAACCACAGTTTACTATACTGAAACTGAGGCAGCAGTGGAGAGACGAGGTTGTGGCTAAACAGCCCCCGTTTCTCCTGGAGGATGTCACATCCCTTGGACTCCTGTCCACCTCCTGCCCTCCCTACAGGGTGGGGACAAGCTTGTGCTTCCCTGTGGGGATCACCTGAGCAAGTGAGAGGAGATGTGGAGAGAGGGCACCCACACTGCCTGGAGCCAGCCAGGAGGAGAGGCAGCCCTGGACAGACGACTGTCAGCACAGGGTCTCCTGGACTGGCCATGAGCGAGGCCCGACGAGCAAGATCGGAGAGGCACTGGGACGTCGGGGCAAGTGAGGAGACATTAGAGCTTCCAGTGCACATCGTGCTCCTTCTGTTTCATGGGCTGCGCTGGGAATGAGGGTGATTTATTTCCTTGTGTGATGACATTGTGTCGTGAACATCTTTGATCCTTCTGCTTCATTCATTCATTCAACAAATAGTTACCAACACCTCAGTGAGTACCAGGGCGGTGCCTGAGATGAGAAAGCAGCGCTAACAGAATCCGAGTCCTCGCCCTCCTGTCACCCATAGGAGATCTTTCCCCATGAGAATTGCCCACCCTGAGGACAACCAGGGAAGCAGAAGCCCCTTGTCCTTGGGGCGTGCATACCTCGTTGACCAAACGCGGCTCCAACCATAAGAATCACTGCGACGGTTTCCAGGTAGCCAGGCCCGCCCAGAGACCTTGCCCGGTGATGAGTCAAACTCCACCACCCTGTCCTGCCTGCAGGGAGATGCTGTGGAGGGGAGAGGGGAGCTGGTGCCTTCCCTCCTAAAGGCAATAATGGAATTGACTTTCAGTAACTGAATTTGTGCACAAACATTCTAAACACTAGTGAAGCCTGTTTTGTTGAACTAATTCTGGCTCTGGAAATGTTCTGTTTTTTAGTTATTTACAGTTGTTTTTTTCCTGTTTTTTGTTTGTTTGGATTCCGCTTAGTTTGTTAATATGTATAATTTAGCATCTATTGCACTCATGTAAATATGGAGTAAGTATTGTAAACTATTTCATTGCTGGGGGTTGTGGGTGTTATACATACATTTAGGACTGCAATTTTTGGTATTTTTTGTATTGTAAAATAACAGCTAATTTAAGCAGGAACAAGAGAAATAGGGAGGTCTGTGCATTTTAAACACAAATGTGAAGAACTTGTATATAAGCAAAAGTAAATCCTATAATACAAACTTCCTTCTGAAATAAAAGTAGATCTGGTAAAAATGTGGGTTTTGTTCTGAGTGTTTAATTTTGATGTACTTATATTTGCATTTTGGTCATTTGAACATCAAGAAAAGAAAAGAAAAGTAAATGTTTACCAGTTTTCAGATCACCTCAGAGGAATGAGAGGGTGTAAAACCATGAGGGTGGAGCACCTCGCCCTCCCTGGTAAAGTCAGCACTGGCAGGGAGCAGACTGCCCGAGGCCCCGTGATGGCCTGTGGGTGCTGCCAGTTTACCTGCTAGGCATCATCCTGCACTGCTCACCTGTCCCCCAGGGGCCCCTTCACCCTTCCGTTTCTCCCTTGAATGCTTCGCCACGTTTCCAAACTGCACAGCCTCGGACATAGTGACGCTCTGGTCCTCTCGGGCACAGAGTTTTTGACGAGGTTATCTCCATTCACAGAGCCTTGCCTGTGGGCCTCCTGCCCTCGGAACAGGATCAGAGTAGATTCCAGTGCCCTGGTATAGAGTGCAGATCCCCAGTGCTGGAAGTTCCAGGATGAGGTCGGTACAAGTGGAGGGGACACACACAGGTCAGTCAGGCCCCAAGGGAATGGGCAGGAGTCCTGCCCACCACACCTGGGGTTGGGCTGGGGGAAAGACTTGAAAACTCGGGGGGAGGGATGTGGGAGCCACCATCAGTTTGTGAGAGGGTACAGACCTATGGTTTCATGGACGGTGGCACATAGTGCTGTGTGTTCCCCACACTTGTCCACTGCGACTGCTGGGCCCACGGGCAAACAGCACTTCCCAGCCCCCTTCCAGGTTAGATTGGGGCCACACCGAGCTGATGAAATGCTGGGAAGAAGTGACGTTCGCCAGTCCCAAACTTGGCACCTGACATGCTCACACTGGGACTCTCCTTGAAGGCCGTGCACTAAAGATGGAGACCGCCTGAGTCCCAAGAAGAGACCGGCCACCGGGGCGAGAGTGGTGCTGGTCTGCCCCTCACTGAATGGCAGACTTTCTGAGATCTGCAGCTCTGTCACAACTGGCTCTTCTACCCTGCTGGTGCACAGATCAGGACCTAGCAACGCACCCGTAACCAAAACCTGAAACACAGGACACTGGCTTATTGGTAAGGTGACAGGTGGTGGGGAGACCCATGCCAGACAGAGGCAAAGCCAGGAAGGCTATTTGGTTTGCTCACTTGGAAAATACACTACTTATCTACTAAGCTGAAAGCCTGAGGGAGAGGTGGAAGAAAAACAAGGCGGCATGGGCTGATTGTTACTGGCTGCCCTGGGCAAAGCATCACAAAACAGAGTTGAGTTCTAGAAACAGCCAGTCTACAAGCAAAAGAGGAAGGGGATGGAGAGACCTAAAATACAGGGCCCATCCATGTCTGAAAAGCCAGCTGCAAACAGCGAGAGGCGCTGTGTGAACATCAAAGACCCAGGCTGATTGAGGCCAACACAGAGACGGTTTCTGTGGCAATAAGCAGATGGAGGGGGTGGTCTTCCCACTTGAGCTGGAGCACCTCAAAGCCATCAAGTTGCGGAATAGAGCAGGTGGGTAAGTAAGCCAAGAGACAAAGCAGCCTCGAGAACCGTGTCAGGAAAGCATGGCTGCACTGACCTGCACCTGCCTGGAGGAGAGAAGCAGCCGATGACAGGTGGCATGTGATCCTGCGGGGACTACGGTGCCAGAGAAACCACTGGTGTGGCCTTAAAAAAAACCTGCTCTCGGGCAGGGAGGTGGTAGAGAAAGCTGTCCAGCGAGGGCGTACAAGTCAATGCCCCCTCACGTGGGGCCCTGAGGGCACGACTGGACCTGAGCAAGGACAGGGCAGGGCCCAGCAGGATCTCATGCTGGCCACCCTCCTGTTCATTATGAGTGTCCTGCCAGGTCTCATCACTGACTGTTGCAGGTGGGTAGGACTTCAGAGAGCCAGCAGAGGGGAGACCGCATCACCCTGAGGAGGGCAGACCTTGGGTTATACCCCTAGGAGGAAAAGCAAAGTGGGACTTGGTGACCAGAATAGAAAAGTGTGCCAGAACCTGGCTCCATGGTCACCAGAGTTCCCTCTTCCCCAGTCCACAGCTTCTACAGCACAGCCCCAGGCCCATCACATCTAGGCAGGGCATAGTGACAGTTGCCACCAATGATGTGTCCCCTCCTTGCCAAGGCAACTAATGGCAAATGAGTCTCCTCCACCCTCCAACAACCTGGCATCTGAGTCCCCAGCCCTACGCATCTGCATGAGTCACATCTGGACAGACACTGCTGGCAGCCCCAGCCTACAAGCCATGTGACCTGCCTGGCAAGAATTCCCTTCCACCCTGTGTCCCCAACACAAGCAAGGGACTACAGCAGACATCCCCATGGCTGTAGGAAGGGTGTTGAAGGAGCCACTTGTATGTCCCGTAAGCCCTTCCTCCTCGTTCACTTAATTCCTGTCCCTGGAGGGCTCAGTTTCCGAATGTGTATATTTTATTTTCTTCCATGTGAACTCATCTTAATTTTTCTCTGTATCCTCTGCCTCAGACTGGAGGCTCATTTGGCTGCACGGTGATGTATGCCTGGTTTGGGACCGCCTTCACCCCAGGCCTTCCCAAACCTGCAGCTCAGCAGCAAGGCAGGGCCGCATCCCCACCTCCTTAAGCATGTCAGGCTCACAGACAAGCTGCTGTCCCACTGGGGGTCCACTGCGGAAGCCCTCTGAAAATTTCACCAGCTAGTGTCCACACTTGCTGCAAAAATGGGCTGATTTTGTACATGTGGCCTGTCTGACCCACTTAGGGTGAAGAGGGGGCCGGGGCGGGGGGCAGTGAGCAGTTTCTACATCAACCTTGCACCTGGACAGTGGGCTGCAAGCCAGAGTGCACATTCATGAGCCATGAAGTTTCCACCAATAAATCCACAGATAATCCCAGCACCTGCCTTTCTGCCTCACTTCCACCCCTGGCCACCTGCTGGCTGGGAGCTCAGTGTTGGCAACAGGTAAGAGATGCAGGGAGGGGTGTAGTCCAGGGCAAGAGTGTGTACACAGAGCTATTGACAGGCCACGCAGGCTGCACACTGAGCCACAGATGAACAAGTCACGCCTGGCTCCTGATTGTGGAGGACACGGCTGGACTTAGCCTGGAGGCACTTGGCCAAATAACACCAAGTGCACACCAGGACCTTGTTAAGCAGAAGGAACAGAGCCAAACTCTTAACAACCTTCAGCAAATCCATTCGTTTCCTGGGGCTGCCCCAACAATGACTGTAGCCATGGTGGCTTAAGACAACACAAATCTGTTCCTCCGGGTCTGAAGTCTGAAACAGGTGTTGGCAAGACCACACTCTCCGAGCCTCTGGGGAGAACCCGTGCCTCACTTCCTCCCCCTCTGGTGGCTCCTGACATCCTCAGCTGTGACTGCCTCACTCCCACCTCTGCCTGTCTTCACGTCACCCCTGGGTGCCGTGTCTGGTGTCTCTGCAGCTCTCTCTGCACATGCATGGGACTGCATTCAGGGCCCACTGAGGTAACCCAGGACTGGTGCCTTCTCTTGAGACCCACTACTTAATCACATCTTTCACCCATATACAAAGTAACATTTACAGGTTCCATGAACAAGGACAGGGACATGTCTTTGGGACCATGAGCAGCCATGAAACAATTTCACACTATTTTCAGATAGATCTGAAACTTCATTGTCCCAATCTTTTGGAAGGTATAAGCCTATTTTAAAAAAAAAAAATTATTTGAAAGTCAGAGTTACACTGAGAGAGGAGAGGCAGAGAGAGAGAGAAAGGAGAGGGGGAGAGAGGGAGGGAGGGAGGGAGGGAGGGAGAGAGAGAGCGAGCGAGCGAGAGCGAACGAGTGCTTCCATAGATGGTTCACCCCCCAATTGGCTGCAACAGCTGGAGCTGCACTATCCGAAGCCAGGAGCCAAGAGCTTCTTCCAGGTCTCCTACACGGGTGCAGGGACCCAAGGACTTGGGCCATCTTCTCCTGCTTTCCCAGGCCATAGCAGAGAGCTGGGTCGAAAGTGGAGCAGCTGGGTCTCAAACTGCTGCCCATATGGGATGCCGGCGCTTCAGGCCAGGGCATTAATCCACTGCACCACAGTGCTGGCCACAAGCCTATATTTTTTAAATAAGAATTATATATTTTGAGTCATTTCTATTTTTCTTAATAGTTATTTACTTATTTGAAAGGCAGAATGATAGAGACAGAGAAAGACCTTCCATCCACTGGTTCACTCCCCAAAGCCAGGAGCCAGGAACTCCATCCAGATCTCCCATGTGGGTAGCAGGGACCCAAGTACTCGGGCATCTTCTGCTGATTTCCCAGGTGCATTAGCAGGAAACTGGATAGAAAGCAGACCACCCAGGACTCGAACTGGGCACTCTGATATGGGACTGTGGGCATCCTAAATAGTGGTTGATCCTACTGCACCTCAACACTTGCCCCTATTTCTTTTTTCTTTTTTTTTTAAATGCTGTATCTTACTCTAATTGTCTAAGTCAAAAATGAAGTCGGGGCATGTAATATGACAGCAGGTTAAGCCCCCATCCCATACTGGTGTGCCAGTTAGAGATACATACTTCCTGCCATACTGTGATTCAGCTCCTCTGCCTCTGATCCGGCTACCCACTAATGCACCTACAGGGCAGCAGACAATGGGCCAAGTACTTGAGTTCCTGCCACCCACGTGGGAGACCTGGATGGAGTCCTGGCTTTGGCCTGGCCCAGCACTGGCTGCTGTAGGCATTTGGAGAGTGAATCCATTGATTTTTGCTCGCTCGCTCATTCGCTCTCTTACTCTGCCTTTCAAATAATTTTTTTTTTTTTAATGAAGCATAAGGCAGGCATTTGGCAGTTAAGTGCCAGTAGGATGCTTGTGTTCCATACTGAGGTGCCTGGGTTCATCCACTGGTGGATGCAGACCCTGGGAGGCAGCCTGATGACTCAAGTGATTGGGTTCCTGCTCTACGAGGGAGACCTGGATTGAGTTCCTGGCTGTCAGCTGCAGCCCAGCTCAGTCCCTGCCATGGCAGGTACCTAGGGAGTAAACCAGCAGATGGGAGCGCTCTCTCTCAAAGGAAAAAAAATTATAAATACAGCAGAGCTTAACCTAGTCTTAAGGCTCTGGCTGCTGTGGCCTCCAGGAGCAGATGTGACTGCACAGGCATTTCTGGAGAGGGCTCTCTGTGAGCTGGGCTAGCGGCCAGTGATGAGTTGCACTGGCCCAGAGCGGTCTCCACCAAGACACCTGCTTCATGGCTCCTACCAATCCCCAACTCATCTGAGGAGCAGCAGCCCGGAGACACAGTAACCCTTTGCCCTTAGGGAGAAGGAAGCAGGCAGGAGGCTTAACCCCCAGACTCCCTCCCTCACTGAACTGCAAGATCACAAGGCCAGCTGCAAGGGAAGCTGGGAAATGTAGTTTCTTATCTTTGAGTACTAGCAGCGAAGGAAAAAAAACAGATGAAAGCAAAGAAAATGCTGCCACTAGGGCCTGAGAGCGGACTCAGCCTCTGTTGTAGGCAAAGCGACAGAGCCCAGCTGGGTTCAGAGGCCACCGCGTCACCAGGCCAGCAGAAGCACACATTGTGGCAGACCCTGGCCCCCGGGCTCCCAGGACACAGATCACATAAAAGCAAGGTCAGTCTCAATGCTCATGGGTTTATTGAATGCCGTGTGCCATACTGGGGTGAACCATGGGACAGATGGCCATGTGGCCAGTCACTGCCGGGGGCAGGGAGGGGCCTGGGTTCTCATCATTCCAGGTGGTGCCCACCAGCAACCTAGCACGGACGGGAAGCACCTGGCATTACCAGTCCCGGGCCCAGGGGCTGGAATGGGGATGCCGAGCTGGGAGGGCTGCGGTGTTGGATGGAGCCCTGCCTCCCAGTCCGCTCAGATGCACTCCCGAAGGTGTATCCAACTGGGAGGCTGATCCAGTTTTCTAGGATTCTGGGAGCCTGGATCGTCCCTGACCTCTAGATCTGGGGCTCCTCTCTGCTGTCTCTGTGCTGTGGAGACTCCAACTCTCTCTAGGTCTGTGCAGGAAAGGACCAAGATGCCACTGAGGGGGAAGCCTGGGGCTTCACAGTCAGGCCCCCAGCTTCCGTGCCTTGCTCCACGAATGGGCACGCAAGGAGCCCAGACCTGCAGAGGGCAGCAAAGCAGGGCAAGAGCACTGGGGCCAGCTTGGGAGGAAAGCCAGTCCCTTCCCGCTGGGGCAGTAGGCCACAGACATGGCCCTGGACTGCAGGACGGGTGGGACAGTCGGCTGCACTGTCCAGGGGTTGCCGTCCTAGTCAGAGCAGGTCTTGAAGAGCCAGGACAGGAAGTACGACAGGCAGGAGGCTCCCCTCCAGCATCCCCTCTGCGGAGGGCACCTGCGGGTGGGAACAGACAGCGGTCTCGCGGCCCTGCTCTCTGCCTGCGCCTCCCTCCCAGGCCTTCCTGCCTCCATGGAGGCCCAGCTGGTAAGGAAGCTGCCAGCTCCCCAGCCCTTCCTACCTGCATGAGGCTGGGCTTGGCGTCCCGGTGGGAGTCCAGCTGTCTCTGCAGGACTGGAGACCACACGCTGTCAAAGTCCTGGATGGCACCATCTAGGGAGGGAAGGGTTCTGGGTAGGCTTGGCTGCACAGGGAGCCCAGCTCCCTGGGGACAAACAAGTGTGGTTCCAGGGATGGCAGGTGTCCGGTGAGGGATAAGGAAACAAGAACAGCTGTGCTCCAGCGACGCACAAACTGACACAGCCATCGGTCCTCACCAAGATGAACACAACCAGGTTCACAGACTCAGGATTCTTACCTACGAAGTGGCTGAGCTGGATTTCAAACTTAGGCTCCTACCTCCTGGGGCCTTCACTCTCCGGCCACGGAGCTGTTCAGACCCGGAAAGGCAAGCTCCTTAGGTGGGAGGGCGAGAGTGTGGGGATGGAGGCCCCTCACAAGCGCCACAGTAGGAGTCTCCCCTGGCCCCATTCCTCGTCCTCAGTCACTTGTTTTAACTCCTACCCCCTCCTGCCACACACCCAGGGTCTGCGCCAGCCAGGACTGCGGACACCGCTGCGCATGGAGTCCCCCGGGGCAGGGCTACCGCAGAGGGGCGAGCGCGCCTGCGCGGCTGCCTCAAAGAGAATTAATTTCTTCCCTTGTGAAATGGGCTCCCACTGACCGGGCGTCTTGGGCCTCGACGCCGGCTCCACGGCCCCTCACCCAGGCAGCGGTTCCTCGTGAAGAGCCCTCGGAAGGCTTCGCATTCCTCACGTCGGTTTCCGCTGGCTCCGCAGTCGCACCAGGGCGCCACTCGTGCGCTCGCGTTGTCCACGTAGTTGGGGGTGACTGCGGTGCCTGTAGGGACCCCGATGCCAGGGTCGAGAGCCTTCGCTGGCCGAGGCATCCCCGGGAGAGCCCCGCCACGTCCCAGCCCCCCCTGCGTACCCACGAGGCCGGCATAGGCGCGCAGGCAGCGGACGCCCTGGTCGCGCGGGCAGCCGTCGAGGGCGCGGGGCACCGGGGCGCAGGAGGCCTGGAAGGCCAGGAGGCGGGGCCTGTGCGACACGAGGGAGGGCGTGAGCGGTAATCGGCCCCGCCCACCCCGCCCCGCCCCGCGCCCCTGCACCACCTCTCGCCCGCACCTGCAGACCCGGCTCTGCTCGCAGGTGTCCAAGGGCACGAGGCAGGAGGGCGGTTCCGCGCCCGGCCCCGAGAAGGCGCAGGTGGGCACGAAGGTCTGGCGCCGACGCTCGGCGCATGAGGGGCCAGCGCATGGGCAGAAGAGCAGCGCGAGGGTGAGCGCGGGCGGCCCGCGGGCGAAGAAGCGGCGCAAGGCGCGGCGGCAGCGGGTGCGGGGGCAGCCTCCCCGCGCGGCCCGACTCAGGCACTGCGCCACGTACTCGGCGCGCAGTTGCTGGCACCGCGCGTCTTCCGTGCACGCCTCGGCTGCGTCTACGCATCGATTCCCGCCGGCCCAGCTCGCCGACTCTGATGGAGGGGTGGGTGGGCTGCAGGTCTCCGTGCGCCCTGCACACACCCTACACGCGCGCCCACGCCCACCTCCAGTGGGGACAGAGTGTAGCCCGGAGACGTGGACGGTTGGCTCCGCCCGGCCTTCGGGCTCTGGGGGTGCCTGCGACACGCTGCGGGGGCGGGCATGGGCGTGTGGAGGTTGTGCCTGACCTGCCCCAGAGGCACCACCACGGTCCCCAGAACTGCCCCCACGCGGCCAAAGCGGGGTCCACAGCGCTCCTCCGACTCCCGCGGTCCTGACAGGGGACTTGGGTAATGGACACGTCTTGGAAATGGCACTGAGGACCCCTGCCCTCTCCCCTCTCCCCTCTCCCCTCTCCCCTCTGCCCTCTGCCCTCTGCCCTCTCCCCTTTGGCGTGAGACACCTGGCCCTTCCTTCCCTCCACTCTCCTACACGGAGACCGTTTGACCGGATCTCTGGGTTTCTGGGTCTTCCTAACCTCGTCGTGCGCCCCTGCGGCTGGCGTTTCCCTCCCCGGTCCTTCCAGATTCTCCCTCTCGTGGTTCTAACTCATCCTACTCGGTGTGCACTTGCTTCCCTCTCCAGGCTCCACCGGCCGGGCGAGGGCGAGGGTCCCCGCGGGGGCTCTGGCGGTTGGGGAATCAGTTTAGGTCCGGCTGCAGGGTGTGGATTCGGAGAAGGCTGTTAGGCCACAGGGTTTTGTCCCAAGCCACAGGACAGGAGTGTTCATCAATGATTTGAGTGAAGGCATTGGGCTGGGGACAGAGTGAGCTCCTGGCACAGCAGAGTCACACAGGGGTCAGGCGGGTCACAGGGGTCAGGGGTCACAGCCACCGCCCCTGTGTAAATCCAGACAAACCAGAGGACGTGGAAGTGGGGACTTCACAGCCCCTTTCTAGGACCCAGGTCACCTTACTGGCCACCCTGCCCCGTGCTCTCAGCCCTGGGGAGCCCCTCAGTCTGGAAGCTGTCCTGGCATCCCAGTCTGAGTTCAGGTGCCCAGCCTGGTCCCCCATCAAACTCGCTGGGTGTGGGGGTGGGGAGAGTCTCCAGCCTCAGGGCTGATCGCCACTGCCATGGCTTCAGCCCCTGCTGCTTTGCAGAAAGGAGGAACACAGAGGCCTTGGAACAGGTACTGGGTGGAGGGGGTAGGCAGGAGAGGAGCCCTATCTCCCCTCTTCCTCACTTCCACTCCTCCCTCCCTCCCTTCCCTTCTGCTCTCCTTGGGAGGCACAGAGCAGCGGGCATGCTTTGCCCTGCATGTCCCCAGGCCCCAGCACACAGCACAGCACTCGGTGTGGCCTGCGTGTCTGCTCCCTCCACTCTGTTGCTTACCTGCCCCCCTTAGCAGGCGCACCCTACCCTCCTCTCCACCCTCAAATTGGCAGGAAATCCCAGGCCTCAGAACTTCACCAGTCCCACTCTCCACGCCCCTGTGAAGGAACCCCTCCCTCCCCGCAGCCTCAGGTGGGGAAGGGGCAGTCCCAGGAGGCAGTGCAGCCGCTGTGGGGCCAGCAGGGAGTCGGGGAGGAGAGTTGGGAAAGGGAGAGAATAGGAAAAAGTTGCTGGGGCGGCCATGCCAAGGCCAGACTGCGCGAGAAGGGTAGCTCAGCGTCCCTGGAGCGCAGGCGTCTCCTTGGGGGCCCCTTCCTGCATCCCAGCTTTTTCTGGGATCTCCCTCTTCCTTCCCTCCCAGGCCCAGAGGAGCAGGGACAGGCTTACTCAGTAGCAGCAGCAGCAGCAGCAGCGCAGGCCCCCAGCAGTGGGCCATGCCCGACGGCAGACAGAGGTCAGCAGAGGCTGACCACCCCGTGGGACAGGTGTCCGCTTCCCGGCACGTCCTGAACAGGAGTGCAGTGGAAACCCAGATGTCTGTGCTGACCGCCCGGCTCCCACCAGGAGGCGCTTGTGCTGTGGGTGTGGCTCCCTACCGCCTGAGTCTCCACCCCAGGCCTTTAGGTGGATCAAGCGCCTGAATGCGACTTGGTGACCCCAGTGCACTAGCGCCTCCCACACCGGGCAACACCCACACCACCACCTCTGGAGACCTTGTCTCTCCTGTGCCGGGAATTCTGTGAAGCTGCAGTGTTCTTTTGCTATTTTATAATTTTATTTTTTAAAGATTTATTTAAACTTATTTGATAGCATGAAAGGGGAAGAAAGGGCTGGCGCTGCGGCTCACTTGGCTAATCCTCTGCCTACGGCGCTGGCACCCCGGGGTCTAGTCCCAGTTAGGGTGCAGGATTCTGTCCCGGTTGCTCCTCTTTCAGTCCAGCTCTCTGCTGTGGCCCGGGAAAGCAGTGGAGGATGGCCCAGGTCCTTGGGCCCTGCGCATGGGAGACCAGGAGGAAGCACCTGGCTCCTGGCTTCGGATCGGCACAGTGCACCAGCCATAGCAGCCATTTGGGGGGTGAACCAACGGAAGGAAGACCTTTCTCTCCGTCTTTCTCTCTCATCGTCTAACTCTGCCTGTCAAAAAAGGGGGGGATGGGTAGAGAGAGCTTCCATCTATTGGTTCACTCCCCAAATGGTCACAACAGCGAGAGCTACGCTAGGCAGAAGCCAGGAACTCCACCTGGGTCTCCCACAGGGTGGCAAGGGACCAAGTATTTAGACCCGGGTGTTGAATGCATTCTGTAAGAGCCGCACTCTGGCTGCCGGTACCGCAGGTATCTGTGCTTTATGATGTGTTGTTTCCTAATTTGTGTCAGGAATGCAGAGGCCACAGCCGGCTTTCTGCTTCGATCACCCTGGGCAGTGGAGCAAAATTCAAGCCACCGTGCCACAGGTTGGGTTTCCTGCCGTCCAAGCCGCCTGGACTCTGGCACCTCAGGGGAGGGAGCAGAAGAGGGGAGGAAACCAGTGGCCGAGCCCAGGCTCCACGATGCAGCACACCTTGTGGATATAGTCACACCTCCCTTCTTTGGGGTGGCGGCCTCAGGCCGGGGGCACATGGAAGAGGTGGCAACAGAGGATCGCATAGAAGAGTGCCAGGGGAAGAAGGGTGGCCCCCGGGCACCCGTGAGCCGCTGGCAGCTGGAAGTCGTGGCTGAGTCAGGCCTGCTTCCAGCCCCCAGCACCACCTTGCTCAGCTCAGTGTCTGGCTGAGCGCCCTCTCCTGGCTTCCAGCCGGTTGGGCACCCCTCACCCTCCTGTAGCTGACCTGATGCGGCTCTGTTCTCCAAATCTCTCTCCTCCTGCTCACCGGGAAGCCACAGATGTGGTGGAATAAGAAGGCTTTGCCAAGATGGCGCTGGCAAGTGATTGTCATTTACTCAGGAAATGGCTTCGGAACCCACCTGGCAACGGAGCCTGCCTGGCAACAGGCAGTGATTGGTTAGGGCATAAACTGTCCTTTGACTGGATTGGCTGCCTTGGCTATATAAGATGCTGTACCAACTGAAATAAACGAGTCTGCAGGCTGCTCCCCTCTGGTTGGCTTTCAGCCCACTTCCTTCCGGGGTCTGTGTGGTGACTCCGCGCCTCTTGCCCTCACTCTGCTTCTCTCAAAATGAATCCACAGCAACACACAGATGGGCCTCTGCCCTCAGGCTGGCATTACTGTCCTACCAGATCTCCAGGAGGCGGGGACACCCAGCTCCTAGCACTCTGAAGGGGCAGCCTGACCTGCCCTAGCTCCTTTGTAGTGGAGTCCCTCAAGGTGGCTCCTGAGGGAGCAGGTGGGAGGGGTGTCAGCCCCCCTCCGTGTCTGAGGTCCCACTTAGGGGAGCGTGTGGGAGGGGTGTCAGCCCCCGCCCTGTGTCTGAGGTCATCCTGAGGGTGTCAGTGTGAGGGGTGTCAGCCCCCATGTCTGAGGTCCTCCTGAGGGTGCAGTGGGAGGGGTGTCAGCCCCCCCTATCTAAGGTCCCCCTGAGGGGAGTGTGTGGGAGGGGTGTCAGCCCCCCACCCACCGTGTCTGAGGTCCTCCTGAGGGTGTGGGTGGGAGGGGTGTCAGCCCCCCCACATCTGAGGTCCTCCTGAGGGGAACGTGTCGGAGGGGTGTTAGCCCTGCCTCGTGTTTGAGGTCCCCCTGAGGGGAGCGTGCAGGAGGGGTGTCAGCTCCCCCCAACCCCGTGTCTGAGGTCGAGGGGAGCATATGGGAGGGGTGTCAGCCACACCCTGTGTCTGAGGTTCTCCTGACGGTGCGGGTGGGAGGTGTGTCAGCCCCTCCATGTCTGAGGTCCCCCTGAGGGTGCGGGTGGGAGGGGTGTCAGCCCACCCTTGTGTCTGAGGTCCTCCTGAGGGTGCGGGTGGAAGGGGTGTCAGCCCCCCACCCCATGTCTGAGGTCCCCCTGAGGGGAGCATGTGGGAGGGGTGTCAGCCCCCCATGTCTAAAGTCCTCCTGAGGGTGCGGGTGGGAGGGGTGTCAGCCCCCCTCCGTGTCTGAGGTCCCCCTGAGGGTGCGGGTGGGAGGGGTGTCAGCCCCCCACCATGTCTGAAGTCCCCCTGAGGTTTCAAGTGGGAGGGGTGTCAGCCTCCCACCCCCCGTATCTGAGGTCCTCCTGATGGTGCCGGTAGGAGGAGTGTCAGCCCCCGCCCCTGTCTGATGTCCTCCTGAGGGTGCAGGTGGGAGGGGTGTCAGCCCCCCCCGCCTCGTGTCTGAGGTCCTCCTGAGGGTGCGGGTGGGAGGGGTGTCAGCCCCCCATGACTGAGGTGCCCCTGAGGGTGCGGGTGGGAGGGGTGTCAGCCCCCCCATGTCTGAGGTCCTCCTGACAGTGCGTGTGGGAGGGGTGTCAGCCCCCCCCCGTGTCTGAGGTCCTCCTGAGGGGAATGTGTGGGAGGGGTGTCAGCCCCCCCCGTCTGAGGTTCTCCTGAGGGTGCAGGTAGGAGGGGTGTCAGCCCCCCCACCGTGTCTGAGGTCCCCCTGAGGGTGCGGGTGGGAGGGGTGTCAGCCCCCGGTTTCTTTTCTCTCTCTATGATGGTTAGCATCTGGGCTGGGACTTTTCGGCTGGGAAAATGTCAGCTGTTGGGGCTGATTCATGACTCTCTGAGTCCACCTCCAACACCTCCTTTTTTGAACCTACACAGGGAACCAATATTTTCGCTGCCTCAGGTGCGTCCCGGGCAACATGCCCTAAAGCCCAATGGAATTAGTCAACCTGCCCAGCCTGACCCATGCTTCCCACCCCACCCTGCCTCGTCCATGCAAACCCGGTTAAGGGTTCCGCCTGAGCCTCACTGCTGCTCCCTTTCACTTGCATCCGCCAACCTGGTGCTTCCCTGTGTGGCTCTGGGTGGCGCACACTGCACCCTGGCTAAGGAGCCATTAGTAATGACTTCACCAAGGACATTAACTTCTTCAAGTCATCAGTCACCTCCCTAACTTAAAGTCGTTAGACAGAGGCTGCTGCTGTGGTGTAGTGGGTGAAACCGCTGCCTGCAATGCCAGCATCCCATATGGGCACCGGTTTAGGTCTCAGCTGCTTCCAATCCAGCTCTCTGCTATGGCCTGAGAAAGCAGTAGAAGATGGTCCTTGGGCCCCTGCACCCATGTGGGAGACCTGGAAAAAGTTCCTGGCTCCTAGCTTCAGATTGGCCCAGCTCTGGCCATTGCAGCCACTTGGGGAGTGAACCAGCAGATGGAAGACCTCTTTCTTTGCCTCTCTATAACTCTGTCTTTCAAATAAATAAATATTAAAAAAAAAGTCCTTAGGCAGCCTTTTGTTGTGGATTTATGGAGAACCTTGATATCTAAAGTGCAAACATCTCCTTTTTCCCATTTTAACTTTTGGGGCTCATCTCAGAGTTTGCTATTCCATATACATTTTAGGTCCAGATCATAAAAAAAACAACATGCTGGGATGTTTATTGGAATTATAATAAATCTGCCAATGGAAGGAGTGAAAGCTGCAAAAATTCTCCAGTTCTTCACACCCCTGGGATAGGATTTCGTTACTGCTCCCGATGAGAGGTGGCATTTTCCCCCATCCCCAGAATCCAACCTGACTTGTGATTTGATTGGGCCAAGAGACCCCCCATGGAAATCGAAGGTGCCAGTCACGTGATCTTGGAAGACCCTGACACAGCAGGGACGTAACTGGGTGACAGGACTGTGACTGATCGTGAACTGAGTTCTGTTTTTCATATTGTGTTCATCATGAATTTTTGCATCAATTCTGACCTTTTAAAATATCGCATTAAGATGGTATTTATCTTGATTACTTTTCTGTGTCCCCTTAAATTTTGCTTCCAAACCAAGTGCCTCACTTGCTCCTCCACATCCTGGACCCGCTCTCTCAGAACCTTCCCCAGCTGTCACGTGAACAAACCTGGGCTAGCCTGCTGGAAAACGAGAGGCACAAGCCCAGCATCCGCTGCCCCAGCCCACAGCCAGCCTGGTCCAGAGCACAGGGGCCTGCCTGCTTGGCAGTTGCCTGCAAACGTGCAGGGGAGCCTGGCTGAGTTGGCCCATTCACAGAACTGTTGTTTTGAGTTACCATGTTTTGGGGTGGTTTTGTAGTACCAGCTGCCTGATACAAAAGCCCACCCTTCAACAACTCTTGCATGAAGCAAGAACAAGAGAATGAGAAGGTCAGGAGACGCAGGCTCAGGGGTTACTGAAACTGGGCATGCTGTCCTAGGCCCAGACTTGAGCTTGAAGTCCTGGTTATTAAGGGAGACTCCAACCCCACCCAAGCCACCAGCCCTATACCCAAAGGGTGCCCCAGGGGCTTCAGGTCATGCACAGAAAGGCTCACAGAGGCCCAAGGGCAACATATCTTCCTTCTGACTTCTAGTCTGTTTCTAAAGTGTCTCCCTCTGTCCCCTCCCATGGGATGGGGCAGGCAGGGTAATGTCTAAGGGCAGGGCTGCAGGAGATGCCCCAGCCTCCACAATCTTGGGGAGGAGGAGGAGGACTAGGGTGGGGGCAAGAGGAGATGGGAAAGAAAAGCCCAAAGAGTTTGCTTCTTTGCTTGTTTGCAGAGGCCAGAGCCCAGGGAAGAGTGGGTGCCATGTGAAATGTGGACCCCAGCAGCCCTCACGGGGTAGGGATACCACTGGATGGACTCTGGTGAGGCTCTTGGGCAGGCCCTCGAGTGGGTGAGGCAGGGCTCAAGTGAGAGCAGACGCTTCCAAGCTGCCTGCAAGTACAGGAGGTCAGCTGACTCGTTGGTCCTGCCCTTGGGAGTCCAAGATCCTGGAGTGGTTAAGAGTCCACACTCAGGAGCCACCTCTCCCCAGAGACTGGATCTTGGCTTCTGGACTTGACCTGCTGAGAATGAGGTGAAAGAGGGAAGAACTGGCTCCAGGCTGCAAATCATGTGATGGGGCGCCCCTGTCCTTAGTGAAGACCAACAACCAGGAAGAGCCCCATCTCCCTCCACCCCCACTCCTGGGGCTTCCAGCATCCTGGTCTCCATAACAACAGCTTCTCCCATAGATTTCATCCAACACCTCAGAGTAGGGAGTAACAAGCTGAGGGATGAAGGGGTGGGAGACTGGGTCATGGGAGTGGGGGGTGTCCTGCATCAGGGCTCCCCCTACCTCGGGGGTCAGGTGGGCCTACATGGCACTGGTCTCTCTGTTGGGCTGTTGGGCTCTGGCAGAGTTCTCACGGCCTGGGAGCAATGACAGAGAGCAAACACAGTGTCCACAGTGGGCGGGAGTCCCTGGGGAAGCGTGGGAGTACAGAAGGCTCAAAGGTGGCTGAGTGCCAAGTGCAGAGGAGGGGCCCTGCCCCATCTGGAAGGGGGCAGAGGCCAAGAGCCTTGCCTCCCCACCCCACCTCCTGTGGCTCACTCACCTGGGGGCTGGGGCTCTCCAGTGGCAGAGGGGCCAACTCCACGGGGTGGTCCTTACCTGGGCCATCTTTGGGCCTGAGCAGGGAGATAAAAGGCCAGGAGGTGGGTCCCTGAGCAGGGCACTTGGGGGCTGCTTCCTTGCAGCATGGCGCCCGGCCCAAGTTCTGCATTCACGGAGTTCCCACCCTGCTCCAAGCCTCTCTCCAGTGGCCTTCCTACTCCCCCTCGAAAGAACCCTGGGTCCCAAGCGCCTCTGGGGAGCTCTGCCCTCCAGGGGCGCTAACACCCTCTCTCTCTCCAGCCCTGACGTGCTCCCCAAAGCTCAGACGCCACCCCACCTCCTGCACCTTCCAGATGTTGGCACCGCTCAGAGGCCTCCCGTGTCCTGCTGCCCTTGCAGCCCGTGTCTCTCTCCCAGCCTTGCCTCGTCCTTTACCATCTCTTCCAGTCACCACTCCCTCAGGAAACCAAGCTGATGATGAGACAGATGCAGCTGCTGCCCCTCTGCAGCGTCCACTCAGGCCAGCGTGCCAAGCTCTGCTCCTTCCTCCTCCCAGCTGGCTGGCCTGCTTGTGCCCTGTCCCCATCTCCAGCCCAAACTGTGTCCTCTCCCTCAGCTTGCACTGAACCTTCTCAAGACCAGAGGAGGGGGATAGCCTCAGCTGGCCATGCTTAGTGTCATGTGACTGCTTCCCCCCACCCCACCCAGGACACAGAGAACTGGGACAGTGCCAGGCCTCTGGCCAGGGCAGCACCAGTGCCATAGCTGACCAGTGGTGTGGAGTGCAAAGATGTGCTGGGCACAGCCTTGGGGGATGTGAGGGGGTGACAGGAGTGATTAGGGCAGAAGCAGCAGGGGGCTGAGAACTCAGGACACAGAGAGGCTGAAGAGGCCTCTGGGCTCAGCAGAGCTGTGGAAAAATAGGGCAAAGTCAAGGGTGAGGCAGGACCTGGCTGGAGAAACCAGGAGACGTGTGATGGGGGTGGGGCCGTTCCTGAGTGCAGCCTCAGCTCCCTCCAGGCCATCCGGCTGTCACTCAAGGCTCCTTTCCACTGCCAGGGCAGCAGCGTTCTCTGCACCTGGGGCAAGCAGCTGCAACCCGTCCCAGCTCCTCACAACCCCTCAGAGCCCAGAGGAGTAACAGATGTGGACGAGGGCCCAGAGAGAGAGGAATCTGAACTCCGAGCCTACCCACTACACGAGGGGTCCCTCCTGCAGCCCCAGGGGCGTCGCTGGTGACGGGACACTGGGAGCCGGTAGCAGCACCAGGCCAGGCCGGCCCCGGGAAGCAGAGGCAGCAGGAAGCTGAGGACCATGGCCAGCAGGAAGGCATCGCCATCTGCAGAGGACAGGGCTGCTGAGCCCTGAGCAGGTGTACCATTGGCCTCCTGCCCACAAGCCCCCCCGAGACACACGTCCAGCCTGCAAAGGGCCGCTGTCCACGCTGCCACCAAAGCCTGGCTTGTCGCAGAATGGGGGAGCCCAGCCCAGAGTACAGTGGCAGTTATGGTTGCTGTTGCAAACCTGCAGAGGAAGAGGGGAAGGGAGGGAGGGTGGTGTGGGAATCCCACTCCTCCCCCACTGCGGTCATGCCCCCACCCCTGGTGCTACCCACCCCACGCCCGTGGCAGGTAGGCAGGCAGCGCTGCAGCTCCTGGAAGGTGATGTTCTGGCAGTGCCTGTCCTGGCACACCTGTGGGTAGAGTGCCCATTGGGCAGTGAGGGCGGACACTGAGCCTGCCGGACTCAAGCGGCAAGGAGGGGGTCAAGTGGCAGGGCTCACCATCCTAGGTCCACACTGAGTGCCTGGCTCTACCAAGCCCAAGTCCAGCAAGTCCAGTTGGGCATCAGGGGGCACAAAGACTCCCTGGCAAGTCAACTCGCTGCCCTCCAGGTGAACGGTGGAGTCCACGGGCACCGTGTTGGGGGGGAGTTGCCTTGGCTCCCCACCCTGGCACTGCAGCTTCCCGCATAGAGCATCCCTGCGTGGTGGAAGGCAGGTCAGCAGCGCCCTTCCCCGCCCGCCCCACTGACCGGAAGCCTCAGTTCCCTCGGCCCCACTCCCCACCTCTGTGCACAAGGCATGAAGCTGGCCTCCCCATCCTGGCCGCAGTTCCCATGGGCGTCTCCTGCCGAGTTCACGACCTGGAAACAGGCCTCCGGGGCTGCACGGGAGCCTAGGAAGCAGGCGCTGGGCTGGAATTAGCTCGCGCGTCTACCCCACAGTAGAAAACTAGGCAGCCAGGAGGTAGGTGCCGGGTGCAGGAGCGCGCGCGTGGACTCACCAGGCCCCCAGAGCTGCTGGCACTGCTGCTCTAGCGTGGGACAGGCGCCGTCGCGACAGTAGCCGTGGCCCCCGGCGCAGGGTGAGCCATCGAGGAGGTAAACGTCGGGGGGACAGTGCGGAGAAGAGCCCGTGCAGAACTCCGGGAGGTCACAGTCGCCCGCAGCCGCGCGGCACAGCGTGCCTGCCGGCTTCAACTGCGCAGGTCAGCCGGTTAGGTAAGGGCAGAGGCAGACAGTGGGATCCACGGCGACAGCGCAACCCAGGAGTGGGGGAGTCGGGTTGGAGAGCCAGCAGACCACGCACAGCGCGGAACCAGCGCCCAGCAGGGGCCGGAAGACACCCATCAGCCCAGACCAACCAGGCCCCCAGCCCTCACCCACGAGTCTCCTACGCCCTCACCAGGCAGCGCGCGCAGCAGTCCCCGTGGGCGCACTCTGCCCCGGCACGCAGCGAACAGTTGTGAGCGAAGCAGCAGGGTCCGGAGCACTCCTGGCGCCAGAAAGGAACAGGTGAGGTCGCAGCGCCCCGGATCTCAGGGAAGGGAGGGGAGCGAGTGGGGGTCAGCCTTGGTCGCCCGAGGCCCGACAGAAGGACCTGACCTGGCCGGAGCCACAGTCACACTCCTCGCCCGCCTCCACGAATCCGTTGCCGCAGCGAGCGGGTGGCGCCGGGAGCCCGCGTTCCGGGGCGTCGGAAAGGCACGCGCCGCCCCCCTTGCGGAAGAAGGCACGCAGCTGGCGGCGGCTGCAGGCGCTGAACACGCGCGGGAACGGGTGCCTGGGGACGCGGGGAGAGCGTCGGGCGCGCAGGGAACACCACCAAGACCTCCGGCCTTCAATTCCCGCGCGTACACTGGCCACGCAGCCGCCAGAGAGCCGGGAGACAGGAAGTGGCCCGTGGGAGGCCCCGCAGCTCAGGCCGGTATGGGGTGGAATTGCGACTCCTGGCCTCGGGGCAATCTCCCCAGGTTGTGCTGAAAGTAACTCGCTCCACCTGCGTTTGCTGTGGTTAAGCCTCAGCATAACCTAAGGGCAGGTACTGTTACATGCCCATTCTACAGTGCCCGCAGCTCCCTTCGCCCCGTTCCTGCAGCCCCTGTCCCGGTGCCCACGCACGTACCCCGTGGCCGCTGCCATGACGCAGCCGCCCCGCTCTCCCGCGGCCTCTACGCAGCAGCCGTCTGGGTCATGGCTGAGGCCAAGGCTGTGGCCAATCTCGTGGGCCATGGTGGCTGCAGCGCCAATGGGGAGCTCCGAGTGGTCCTGGGAGGCCAGGGAGGGGGGGCGGTCACCAAGGGCCACGAGGTCCCCGCAGCAGCCCCACTCAGTCCCCGTGGAGCTCACCCTGCTCACGCCTCCGGAGCTCTCGGCGCGACACATGCCCTCGACAGGTGCCAGGCCCACAGTGGCCCCGCGGAAGGCGCGGCCCCTGGGGGCAGAGCACGGTGTGACCCGGACAGCTGGGGCTCCCCTCCCGCTGGAGACCGCGCTGGGGTCAGAGGCACCCACGTGAGCAGCTGTGCAGAGTCGTGCGGCCGCCGTGCCCAGAGGCCCCGGCGCCACCGCAGGAAGGCCCAGAGCGTGGCGTTGGCATCTGGCGTGACGCGGCTCTGGTCCTGCTCAGTCCACACTTCCAGGCCGGTCAGCACCACCTGAATGTCCAAGGTCCTGAGAATCTGAGAGCCGGGCAGGGCTGGAGTCAAGCACAGGTGCCCTCCAGAGCTGCACCTCTGCTCCCCTTGCCCCTGCCACGCCCTGTGCAATCTGCCCTCTCTTCCTGTGTCCCCAACCTGGTCCACATAATTGGCCACCTCCAGGAGACGCTGTTTGGTGTGGTTCAAGTTCCTGTGCTGGATCAAGAACTGGGAAGGCAGGAATACCTGTGGTGAGGGGCAGACCGGACCTCCAGCCCAGGCCCTGCCAACCCCCCTGCCCAGAGCCGCTGCTCACCAGTGTGTGATCAGCCACTAAATACAGCTCCAGGTACCTCCGGCCCCTGGGGACCCTGCGCCGCTCCTGTGCAGGGGAGAAGAAGGGAGACCCTGAGAGGCAGGCTGCTGGGCGCAGGCGCTCTCCCATCAAACCCAATTCCCAGAGAGAATAGCTTTACAGTGTTGCTAGAATTGGCTTCTTCAGTCTCTGCTTAAAACTACCAGCAAGGCAGACCCCAGGCTGGGGCCTGCATTCCCATCTCTTCCCCTCCCTGTGTGGGCCATGGATACTCCCACTCCCACCCGGTCCACGCCCCTGACCCTGCTCGGGGGGGCACGAGGGCGGCTGGCCATGTCCCCGTTCTCCTGGGGGTCCCTGTGGCCACAGGCCCCTTTCCAGGTGAGCAGCTGCTGGAGCCTGAAGATCCTATGGGTGAAGAAGTCGTTGGAGTCCCCAGGAGTTCCCGGCCGCAGGTAATAGGTGGTATTGCTGCTGAGCTGGATCAGGCCGCTAGGGTGCAGAGGAGGGAGTGAGGGCGCTCTTGCCGAAGCCCCTGGGCCACCCCCCTCCCCCCAGACACCTCACCTCATCCCGGAGCAAGTGCTGAGGACGACCCAGGAGCCGGGGAAGCCCCTCACGTGCCCGTGGTAGTGGCAGTGATCCTGGGGAGGAAAGGACCCGGCCCCAGGTCTCAGCCAGCACTGAAGTGGCAGGGGTAAGAGCAAGGGCATGGTGGGGAGTGGGGCAGGAATAGTGTGGGGGTGCCTGCCCCAGCACCTCCCACCCTGTCTCAGGGCCCGTGCAAGTATCTCACCGTGTGGCTGGGGACTAGCACCACCGGCTGACCGTCTGGACTGTAGTGGGTTTCTGTGTATCCGGGGGCCAGCAGCCTGCTGGGAGTGGGGTTACAGGAGTCACATAATTCAGGCCACCTCTTCCTGGATGCCTTCCAGCCTTCCTCCCTGAATGCTAACTAAGCAGCTCTCTGAGTGAAGTCCCCAGAGTACCTCAGCTCAAAGAAACCTGGCGCTAGAGGGAGACGGTGAGGGTCAGGAAGGAGCCTTCATGATGGCTCAGATGTGGGAATTGGGAGGCTGAGAAGCAGTGGGGAGGAAGACAGGAAGGGTTGGTGCCCGTCAGAGGCCTGCGGCAGGCAGCTGGAGCCTCGGGGGTGGGGGGACTCAGAGACACTGCCAAGAGAGTGGAAGTGGAGTAAACCCCCTTGGTATGCCTGCCTGCTGCAGGGCATCTGGTCAACCCCTCACCCTCTCCTACCGCAAGTCCTTCCAGTCTCCGGCCTCTCAGTCTTGGGGTCCACCCCTTCCCTCCGCCTCTGTCCAGTAGCATGCACTCCCTGCTTCCTCAGGAAACAGAACAGCACCTGCCCACCTGAGCAGAGATCTCCATCCCCCTCTATCCAGACACCTCCCAGTAATGACTCCATCTTTGGGCTCCATCTCCCTGGGATCCTTCCCACCAGGTCAGAGCTTTTTTCTTTCCGGAAAACCCTTGACCCCCAACTTCACCTGAGCTTCTTTACCTCCACACCCCCCGCCAAGGCCCAGGCATCCTCTGACCTTCTCCAGCTCTGCTCCTCCACTGCCCATGTCTGCACAACCCATGGGGCAGGTGGCAGGGTCACTTCACTTAATGGGTAGGGGTGGCGAACCCCAGAGGGGCAGTGGTTAGGCGCAGTGGGAGGAGAGTTAGTTTGCAGTGCATGGGACCCCAGAGGGAGAATAACCTACACAGACAGTGCTCACAGCAGTGGCCGCAGGAAGCGAGCTCTCTAGGAGTAATACCTATGGATGACACAGTCTAGAAAGCTCCAAGACCCTTGGAGCTTGGGGCAGCATTGGCCTAGCAATTGAGATGCTGGTTAGGACACCTGCATCCCACATTGGAGTGCCTGGGTTCAATTCCCGGCTCTGGCTCCTGATTCCAGCTTCCTAGTGCAAACCCTAGAAGCAGTAGTGACTATTCAAGTAGTTGGGTCCCTCCCACCTATGTGGAAGACCTGGTTCAAGTTCTGGGCTCTTGATTTCAATGTAGCCCAGCCTTGGCTGTTGTGGGCATTTGGGGAGTAAACTACAAGATAGGAGTGCTCACTTGATCTCTTTCTCTCCCCACTTTCACTACCTTTTAGATAAATAAGAAAGTTTTAACTCCCCACACTCTGTCTTGGACACTCACCCCACCCAACCCAGGGCATCATCCTGAGCTATTCTGGCTGCCCATTCACCAGCTCAAAATCTCTGGCTCCACCCCATCCAGGACACTCAGAGCTAAACTGTTCTTTTGAGATCTGGCCCTCTTGGCTCTCCTGGAGTTCACTTCCACCTGCCCCCTTCCCTGCTGATGGCGACCTTCCAGGCAGGTGGCCCCAATTGTGTCTGCAATCTTATCTAGGATTCTCCTTTGACGCAGCAGATCCTGTGAACTGCCACTAGGTGGCGTCACTCGCCTCCAGTACAGAGTTGACAGGATGCTGCTGCCGTTGGGAGGAGGGATGTGCTCCACAGTGAGGTTGATCCTGCCTCAACAGTCATTCCATCTTCCAGGGGCCATCATGACTCCCTGTCACCTGCACTCCTCGTAGGGCCCTCCCGCCATGCAGTCTCCTTTATGGGTCCAAATTGGTCCTGTTCCCAGCACTGATCCATTCCAGAGAGAGGCTCTCTGGGCTCCCAGCCCCACCCCAGCCTGGTACTCACTGGTTCTTATGCAGCTCAAGCAGGAGCTCCTGACCTTCAGCCTCCAAGGTCATTAACCCTGCATCCAGTGTCGAGACCTGGCCAAGAAGGGGTGTGGGGCTGAGATGGGGGCCTCCAGGCTTCCTGCCTGCAGGGAGCTGGGGGGATGTAGAGCTGGCTGGCGAGGGGGTTCAAGAGCAGACCATGGCCTGGGGATGGTGGCAGGCAGCAGGCCCCCTATGGACCAGCACATGCCAAGATGGTCCCAAACTCAGATTTGTGCTGACAACAGCTGCCTGCCGGGGGCACACCCCATCCTCCCTAGAGATGAGGGCTCCCAGGAAGGCACCTGCTTTGCTGTGGTCATGGGCTCTCCGTCCTCTTTCAGGCCTGGAAGGGGCACGAGAGTCAGGGGAGGGTGGTAGCGTCGAGAGGACATTTTAGGGGCCTTGGGTAGCCATCCTGTGGGCCTCCTCACAGCCTCTGTGCCATATAGGGGCTTGTTTTTGTGTCTGCCTTCAGTCCCTGTAGAATGTAGACTGCATTCCTCCAACTGCAGTTCTGGAAAACCCCCCCTCCCATCCACCACGTGGTCCTTGGCTTCCCACAGGCCCATCCTACACCTGCTTCCCTGAGCTCATGGGGTAAACATGGAACCCATCCCAAGCCAAGAGAAAGTGCTGGTCATCAGATGGATGTCAGGAAGGCTGGCTCAGCCCACAGCCCTTTTCTCCCCCAGCCTCATGCCTCTCTCACCCTGTGAGAATACCCCATCTTCTCCCCACCTTTGACCCCTGAGCCTGGCTGGAGGCCCGGAGTTGGAGCTGACCCAGTAGCTTCCTAGGGGAAGGGCACTGTATCCTCAGAATGTTTGCTCCCCCACCCTGAAAGTTATTCCCCTTTTATCCGTAAATGCACTGGGTTAGGGCCCTGGCCAAGGGACTCAGAGTCTTGGCAGGGGTGAGGGGGTGAGGGGGATGTTTCTCGGCAGGTGGGGAGCAGGCAGCCCTCGCTTCCCCAGCCATGGACCCTGCAAGGCCCCAAACATGAGCTCATGTGGCTGGAATGCTGCCTGCTTTATTGGGAGAAGTGTGGGGCCCAGATGGAAGGCCACACGAAGGCTCTGTCCCCCTGGGGCCCTGCTGCCTTCACTTCTTGCTTCCCTGGAGGGCCTGCCCCTCAGTGTGTCCCCAGCCCATCCCGGAGCAGGAGTGCCTCCTGCCTGCTGGACAGCACACCTGCTCTCAGCTGTCCTCTGCCCTATCTTGGCAGGAGCAGAGCCCATGTAGGATTGCCCACCTTGGTCACAGCCCAGGGGAGTAGGGCCACCATCAGGGTGACCCCACTGTGGCTCACCCAGGAAGTTGGAGAACAGTCTCAAAGCTCAGGCCAGCACTGTGGGGCCAGCTGGGTGGGGCCCCCAAGGGTCCAGGGGTTTTCAGGGAGGGTCCTGGGTCCTGGGAAAGCCCTCAGGGTACTTGCCTGCCTTTCTTCACTGGGATTGGAAAATGGGGGGGCGGGGGGGCTCTTGCCTGGCAGCCCTCTGTGTGTGTCTGGGCTTGGCCAATGGTTTGAAGCCTTTCAGGTTTTAGCAGGTCTCAGGTTCCCGCCTGAAGAGCTGTGGGGCCACAGGCAATCTCCCCAACCTCTCTGGGCTTCTGCCCTCATGGGAACGGGGCGTAGAGAGGCCGCTGGCCTCTTGGTTTGCAGCGCAGATGCTGCAGTGCAATCAGATGGGGCGTGGCTGTTATGGAAATGGGTGATGACAGGCAGTACTTGGGAGGAGGCTGGGGCCGAGTGTCCTGGAGAACACAAATGGGGTGCGCTTCCATCGGGGGGGCATCAAGAGAGTGACTGCTGCCCCCCAAGCCAGAGTGGATTCCACATGAGCCAATGAGGCCAAGGTTTCTGGCCCCTCAATGGTAGGGCCCTGGGAGAGACGGCATTGTGTTCATAGGACAACGTGTTCACATGCCCTGGTAAACTTGGTGAAAGGAAGATATTTTGGTGTTTTCTGAAAAGGGCTCCTAAAAGCTTCAGGCCCCACGGCTCTGCCTGGTGGGGGTAGGGGCAGCCTGGATTATCCGGGGAGGGAGCCGAAAATAACTTCCATGTGGACAGGCTCACGAGAGCAAGCTGTGTGTCTCCCTGCCCCCGCCTGCCCACCCAGTATGTGTCTATGGCGGGGGGGGGGGGGGGGGATAAAGGAGTAGTGCCTTGGTGGCTCTGGGGACCCCAGCAAAACAGCCAACTGCAGTGTGGGGACGGACGAAAGGGCAGAAGGCCCTGGGGGAGGATGAGCGATATTGCACTGACCGGTTCTTTCAGGGTGATCACCTGCCCGGGTCGTCCATCCAGGACCCAACCAGGGGTGGCTGGCTCTCCAGGGGTGTATCCTAGGGTGAGGACAGAGCACAGGGTGAGGGGCATCAGCAGGAGAACGGGAGGCCCCGAGAGGAAGGGACCATCCTCACCTGCGTGGGCATAGCCTGGAGAGGGCATCTTTAGAATGAAGGAGCCACCAGGAAGTGGCAGGAGGGAGACGAAGGGGCCTGGGTAGGCACAGCTTATCTGGGGACATAGAAGCTTTGGGGTGGGGGGGAATCAGGCTTGAGGTCAGAGGTCATAAGGGAGAGGCCAAGGCCCCCTATGTAGAGGGGAAGCGAAAGGGGAGGCTGGCCCGGATATTTTTAGACTGGGTAGCAGATGCCTTCGGGATGAGAGCTGTGGAGAAAGGCTGCCGGCATCGTCCCCCTGGGCTGAGACAAACAACAGCCAGATGGTGTCAGGGGAGGCCCACCTTGCCTGGAGCTCCCTCCAGGCCTTCCCATGGGGGTGGAAGGGGGGGCGGGTTCCTGGGGGCCCTGGCCCAGAACCACCCCCTTCTTGTCTTGCTGGGGGACACAGCCTCGTGCTCCCAGGCCGGCTGGTCTAAGGGGGGCTTAGGAGGAGTCCCCGAGCTGAGCATTACTCAGAGGGCGCCTGGAATGTTCCCCTGGAATGCGTCCCTCCCCACGCCGGCCCCAGCAGCTCTTCCCCAGGCCTGCCCAGGAAGCCTGGCCCCAGTCCTTCCCGGGGCTGACAGCCGTTAGGGATGGCTCAGCTTCTCCTTTTCCTCCCGCGCCTGCTGTCCAAGACCCCAGCACCAAAGACCTGGGAGAGCAGCAGCTCCAGCAGGGGCCAAGTGCCCAGAGAAGCCCTCCTTAATTGGATGAACTGAATTGCCAAAGAGGCAGATGAGGGAGGAGGCAGGAGGGTGAAGAAGCCGGTGTGGGGAGGGTTCTGGGTAGGCCCGGGGGAGGGGGAGGGGCAGGTCTCAGAGAGGACTTAACTGGGTGCGGAGGACCAAGCCTTGCTTGAGCTGCTCTGCCCATGGCCCTGCACTCACCTGCTGGTCACTGGCACCTTGATGAGGGGCAGGGATGGAGCTATGGTCATAGGGAGCCGTCTGGTGTTGGGAGACATAGAGCCCCTCTTTCCCAGGGGTTCTCTCCCCCTCCCCCTCTGTAGCTCTGAGTGAAGGTAGCAGTAGAAGATCTAGGAATGGCTCCAAAGGCATGCCAGCTGTCATCCCTCCCTGTGGGTCACAGGGCTGTGGAGGCCACAGCCCCCAGGCTGCCCAGCCCAGCTCTGATGGAGGCCCCACAGTCCCCTCGCCAGTCGTGAGCTGTACAGGACCGGGTGGATCTTTGCTCCCACTAGGACAGGGAGGGTGCACTGGCAAGAGTCCTCCCCCAGGCACTGCTCGACATCCAGTCTGACCAAAGAAGGCAGCGATATAACAGTCCATACATGGCCCAAGGCCCTGGAGCAGGCAGGATGTGAGCTTGGGGCAGGGGTCCCCCACAGGCCTGGAGCCTGAGGGCAGGGCAGAGATTGTAGAGAACACAGAGGCTTCCTGGAAGAGGGAGACCCGCTGAGCCCTAGGCTGGGGGCTGGGAGGAAGTGAGGGCTTGGGGGGGGGGGGTGCTGGGGAGGATGGGTTATGCCCTGACACAGGGTGGCACCAGGGCCCGCCCTTGCCCAGTGCCAGTGTCTGTACCCACTCAAATCATCCCTGGTCTTCCTGGCCATGCTATGGGAGGTGGGTAGGGGCTCTCAGACCCTCCATCTGCTGCCAGGGCTCAGAGTGGAACCCTCTGGAACACCACCATCATCACCACCACCTAGCCTCACCCGCCCCTCGGGGTGCACCCTAGCCCCCACCTCACCTTGAAGCACCCGGGCGCCCGGCACCAGCCTCAGGAGCAGCAGTAGCAACAGCGGCAGCAGCAGCACCGGCAACCCCCAGGCTCTCTGGAAGCCCCTGCCCATGGCTGCGAGCGCCTGGACCGCCGAGCTTCGGCTCTCGGCTGCCGGCTCAGCTCCGCCCTAGCCGGATCGCGGCGGACTCACGTCCCGCGCAGCCCGGGGCCGCCGCCTCCGGACCCTCTGCGTCCCCAGCCCGGCCCGCAGCCCCTCCCCCAGCCCAGACCCTGGCCGGCAGGGGCGACCTCCCCGGGCCGCAGCGCCCGTCGAGGGGAGAGAGCCGGGTCGGGGCGGGGTAGGGCGTGAGTCCAGCCCGCGCCGTCCCGCCCCGTCAGTCTCCATAGCCCCGCGTGGCGCTGCAGGGTGGGGCCGGGGCGGGAACCGCAGGGAAGGTCCTGGGCCGTGGCGGACGAGGGGCGGGTGGACGGAGATGGCGGTCGGGCTCCACCTGTCGCGTTGGATCTGCCCAGGGATCGACCCGCGGAGGCCTCCTGGGCAACCTCTGTCCGCGCCTGGCGCAGAGACGGCCGCGCGGGGGTCCCAGAGGGGAGGGAGGGAAGTGGCAGGCAGGTGTGGCCGCCGGCCAATCGCGGGCCAGCCTAGGGCGAGGGGATGCCGTGGTCTTCTGTGCCGCAAAGGTGAAGTGGTGGCTGGACACAAGGTGAGGGGCAGCCCTTGGTCCCCAGCCTGACCAGAGGGTGCAGGTGCACGAAGTCGTGGACTCTCCGGCCCCAGTAGCACGTTTCTGGTTTTGAAGATTTGTTTGGGTACTAGATATAAATAGGGAGGGATGCTAATTTTTATTTGAGAGGCATAGGGCTCCCATCTGCTGGTTCACTCTCCAGATCCACACGACTGGGACTCAATCCAGGTCTCCCCTGTGTGGCAGGGATCCGTGTACCCGAGCCAGCATGGTGTCTCCCAGTGTGTGTGTTAGCAGGACGCTGGAATCAGGAGTGGAGCTGGGAGGAAAAAATCTTAACTGCTGTTCTAACGACCAGGTCAAACAGCCACCCATGTTCTCTTATTAACATTTTTTTTTCCTGCAGCTTGCTTTTTTCCCTTAATATACCTTGGATATTATTGCATTTAGAGAGTCCTGAGTATTGTTACTCTTATGCTTATTCGTATTATTATTTTAGGCTTGCACATCAACTTTATGAAGGCATAATTTACATACAATGATCTTATTTAAAAATGCACAGTTAGATGAGTTCTGATAACCGTGTATACTGGTGTAGCTGTTACCATAATCGAGGTTAAAATTTTTGGGAGTGGACTTCTAGCCTTGCAGCTAAGACACTGGAGCCCCACATCAGAGTACCTGGGTTCAATTCCCGCTCCTTACTCCAGCATTCCTATTAAGGCAGAGGCTGGGAGGCAGCACTGATGAATTAAGTAATTGTATCCCTGCCAGCCACATGGGGCACTTGGATTGATCCCCAGCTGTTTAGGGAGTGGGGAGTGAACTAGTAGATGGGAGCTCTTGGGGCCAGCACCGTGGCTCACTTGGTTGATCCTCTGCCTGCGGCGCTGGCATCCCATACAGGTGCCAGATTCTAGTCCCGGTTGCTCCTCTTCCAGTCCAGCTCTCTGCTGTGGCCCAGGAGGGCAGTGGAGGATGGCCTAAGTGCTTGGGCTCCTGCACCCACATGGGAGACCCGGAAGAGACACCTGGCTCCTGGCTTCGGATCAGCGCAGTGCTGGCCATGGCGGCCATTTGGGGAGTGAACCAATGGAGGGAAGACCTTTCTCTCTGTCTCTCTCTCTCTCTCACTGTCTATAACTCTGTCAAATTAAAAAAAAAAAAAAAGAAAAAAAAAGATGGGAGCTCTTTATTTCTCTGCCTTTCAAATAATGTGAAACCTGGATTGCATCTGTGGCTCCTTGTCTCAAGCCAGGGCAGGCATTTGGGAAGTGAACCAATGGAGGAGCTCACTCTCTCTCTTAAATAAATAAATTAGTTAAAATAAAATTTTATATATAAAAATACGCATTTCTATCACCCAGAAAAATCCCCCTTGTGCCGCTTCCCAGTCAGCCTCCCCCACTCCCAACCCCAGGCAGCTGCTAATCCACTTTCTTTTTGTACGTTGTCTGTTCTAGAACTTGATGGAGACAGACTCCCACGCAGGAACTGTTTTGTGTCTACACTCTGCCTGCTTTGTGATGTTTTGGAGAGTCATTTTATGTATCAGTGTCTTGTTCCTTCCCATTTCTGAGTGGTGTTTCCATGGCACGGGCAAAGCCCAGCTTCTCTTTCACCAGTGAGGCGCGCGGGTTCTTTCCCAGTTTGGTGTGGTTATAAATACAGCTGCCGTGAAATTGCTGGATGAGTCTTTGTATGAACATGTTTTCGTTCCTTATAACAACCGAGAAGTAGAATTGCACCAGCATATGGGAAAGGCATAAAGAGAGGACCTCAAACTGTTTTCCTGAAGCGGCTGCACCATTTTACACCCTAACCAACAGTGTCTGCGAGTTCCTGCTCCTCCCCGTCCTCGCCAACACTTAGTGTTGTCAATCTGCTTAGTCTCAGCCATTCTAGGAGGACTGTAGCAGCCTCATTATCATCCTGATCAAAGTAAATGTTTTACTCAGTTATTTCAGAAGCAGAGAGAGCGCGAGCAAGCTAGCTTCCATCCACTGGTTGGCTCTCCAAATGCCTGTATGTCTGGGGCTACACTGAGGCCAAAGTGGGAGCCAAGAACTCAATCCAGGCCTCCCACGTGGGTGGCAGGGACCAAACTAATTGAGCCATGACTGCTGCCTCCCGTGGTTTGCATTAGCAGAAATCTGGAGTCAGGAACCTGAGCTGGGAATCAAACCCAGGTACTCCAGTAAGGGACACCTGAACCACTAGGCTAAATGCCTGCCCCTCAGCTTTCATAGACATTATCAAATGTTTTTAAAGTTCTCATAAGCTTTCACATATGCTGTATGATTCCATTTATATAAAGTTCATATGCAGCCAAATGAAATCCTTGATGTTAGACATCAAGGTAGAAGTGACCACTGGGGACCATGACCAGGAGGGCTGTGAGGTGGACTCTGGTCTGTTTGCCTTTTTTTTTTTTTTTTTTTTTTTTTTGACAGGCAGAGTGGATAGTGAGAGAGAGAGAGAGAGAGAAAGGTCTTCCTTTTTGCCATTGGTTCACCCTCCAATGGCCACCATGGCTGGCGCGCTGCGGCCGGCACACCACGCTGATCCGAAGGCAGGAGCCAGGTACTTATCCTGGTCTCCCATGGGGTGCAGGGCCCAAGCACCTGGGCCATCCTCCACTGCCTTCCTGGGCCACAGTAGAGAGCTGGCCTGGAAGAGGGGCAACCGGGACAGAATCTGGTGCCCCAACCGGGACTAGAACCCGGTGTGCCACGCCGCTAGGTGGAGGATTAGCCTAGTGAGCCGCGGTGCCGGCCTGGTCTGTTTGCTGATCTGGGAGCTGGGCCCATGGGTGTGGTCACTTGCAGAAAGTCACTGAGCTGCACACTTACAGTGTGTGCCCTTTTCTGTGTGTGTCACACTTCAGTGAAAAGCTTAAAAGTTTTTGGCACTTCAGACCACTGGTGCTCTGAGAACCCTCCAGTCCCAGGTGGGCACCCATCCCTTGGAGGTTCAGGGAGAGAAGGAGCCTTTCAAGTCAAAGTTCCCAAATCCCCCAGTAGCCACCCCTCTGCAGCCAGCTGTGGTCCTCCCTCGCCCTTGCCCTCGCTTCCCCAGACAGCCCCAAACACTGGGCCATCTCTGCCTACTCTCCCCTTGTCCTACCTCAGGATTTAGCCCAGGCTTTCCCACTTGACAATGACCTAAAACAACCAAGTGCATCTTAAGTGCTCCCCTAATGTGTGCTGGTCGCTGTGCGTGAGAAGCACACAGTCAGAGCTTCAGAGCGGGAAGGCAGTCTGCAATAAATGTCATGAGATCTGCCCCACCCCGGCCCTACTCCCGCCTCCTGCAGGTGGTCTCCGAGAATGAATCCCACCGACAACGGAGTGCTCTGGGTTCTGGCCCCACAGGTTGAGTTGCAAGAAAGAGACCCACCCTGCGTCACAGGATGGATGGTTATGGGAAGGACATGTGGGACAGACTGCCAGAAAGTCTGACAGCCACACACAGGCAGGGAGGGGGCCTGGAAGGAGCAAGGGTGCAGCCTCAGCCCACAAAGCTCACCTGACCTCCGACTTGCCTCCAGCCCACTGGTCCTGCACCAACTACTCTCCACGTTTCTCCACCCAAATCCTTGAGCCTGGGCTCTTTGCTTCTCCCACCATCGCTTCCTGGCCACAGGGGAGGCCCTGGCCCACTGGGAGTTGGCTCTTCACAGTCCCTGATCTCCTCTGGGTAGCCCCCATCCTCGCTAACAGCCTCTGGCAGGGACCTCCAGGAAAAGGACAGGAGCTCACTGGGTCACGGAGGAGGATGCACCTGGGGCAGAACTGGGACGCTGATGACATCGGTGTCCTGCTTGAAAGAAGCTGAGCTGGTGCAGCTTGCTCTGTCCCTTAACATACCTGAAGTTGGGTTGGTGGTGGGAATAGGGGCACCTCTTCCTCCAGGGTCCCCATTGTCTGACAGGCCCCCTCTCCAGGACACCAACCCTTGATTTCCTCACTCTCACTGTGTGAAAGGGCCACCTCCTCCAGGAAGTCCATGATCACAATAGCCACACCCTAATCTCCAGTAGATGGGCACCGAGACAGAATGTGGCTTGCTGGTAGCATTCCCGTCCATGTCGAAAGTCCCATGGATAAGTGCATAGTGGAGAGGCCTTTAGCAATAGAATAGTCACAGGTACTCGGGGTTCTAAATAGAAATTGCATTTCCCAGCCTCTCTTGCGGCTTAAAGCGGCCATGTGACTAAACTCTAGCCAATGAGAAGTGAGCAGAAATGCTGTGTGCAACTTTGGGGCTCTGACCTTCTATGTCCATTCTTCCCGGTTCCCACTGAAGGGACTCAGTGGACACAGCAGAGCCAATCAAGGGCAATGTTTTAGGGATGGAGAAAAAGCAGGAAGTCCCCTGAGCCCCAACACCTCGCACTGCCATCACACCCCCAGTCTCACATGGGAGAGAAAACTAAGACCCCGGCACGTGGAAGTGGAAGGCATTGTATTTGGTCTCCGATGAGAGCAGCCTGACCTAGACTGTGTCCAGCACAGAGGAGGTAGGTCTGTGAGCCCGCAGCCTTCTCCCCTTCTGTTCCAAGCCATCCCAGACATCCAGGGTGAGGAAAAGGCGTGAAGGGGCAGTGCCTGCTTGCAGGAGGGGTCCAGAGGAGAGAGACAACGAGATGGATTCCGTTCTCCTCAGAGGCCCCCAGTGTCAACAACATGCCCCTCGGAGACTGGGGCTCACTCCCTCCTGTCACTCCCCCACTTTTCTTGGGGGCCAGAGGCTCAGAGTCAGGTCACAGAGAGGCAGAAATCACAGTGCTGTTTGTGCAGAGGTAGGCGGGTGCCTTGTTCACATGCCCGGGGCCCGAGTCAGCTCTGGTGTGGCCACCTCCTCCTCCTGCTCAGCCTAGGAGTGGAGCACTGCACGAGGTCCCACAGGAGGATGCATCAGGATCAAACAGCTTCCCACAGAGAAAACCGTGGTCACTGGAGGACTCTGGGAACACGGGTTGCCCCCGGGTCCCCAAGCCTCAGCCTGAGGTCAGGGAACCAGAGGGGCTGAGTGGCAGTGTGTGTCTGTGGCTGCGCCCTGCAGCCCTCCACGGGCATGGGGAAACAGATTATCACCCCTGCTCAGGTGACCGGCAGGCTCAGGACAGGGGAAGAGAGATCTCAGAACAAAAATGGAGGGAGCAGAAAATGATTCTTGGAAGCAGAGGGGAAGCTGCTGAATCCAGAAAGAGCCCAGGTCACTCAGCCACCTGCACACCTGGGGATGCTCTCCCCATGGCAGGAAGACGGTGCTCCCCATCTCCAGGGGGCCCTGGCTCCCTGTGCCCTCTCCCCAACCTCCCCCTGGCCCAGGCACCACCCTGTAAGTGAGCACAGTCGCTGGAAGCCAGCCTGGGCCCCGAGGGTTAGCTGGATGCTGTGCCTTCGTGTGCCTGTGTGTGTGGAACCCATACCTGTGTGTTGTCCTTCTGAGAAGCCATCTCCACTAAGTTCTTGCCCCGGCTCAGCTGATGAGAACGTCTTGTTCTGCAAGGTCAGGAGTGCAACTCAGAGAGCCCCTTCCTCCCCACCACCTGCCCCCCACTCCCCTCCCCTTCCCACAGGTGGCCCCAGGCTGCTCACTGTACACAACGGGGGAGCCCTGAGGGCAGTGGGGCATTTTATCTTTCTTCCTCCCCAGTCACTTCTTCAACACCATCACGGCAGAGAGAAGGAAAGAACACAATGACAGCAAGATGGATGAGAGGCGATTCTAGAGAGGATTCCTACTTAGGAGGAGTTGGCTAAGAAGGATACAGCCGTGAAACTGGCAGAGGGAGGTTCCCCTAAAGGATGTGGGGGACACTGGAGTCAGGGGTGGTGGTCGCTGGGCCCATTCCTCCCGCCGACCCACCTCCAGACATAGCAGGTCCCAAGGCCCAACAGCAGACCAAAGAAGCCCGCCAGCAGTCCCAGGACCCAGAGAAGCTGCTGGAACAAGCGCAGCTGGTGCAGAGCTGGAACACAGAGGAGGAGCTGAGGGGGCAGTCATGGCTACGGGCCGCCTCCATCCTAACCCCTACATTCTCCTTGCAGCCCTCCATGCTAGGGAGCTCCAGTCAAGCCGTTTAGCCCAGAGGACAGACGGAGGGCTCAAGGATGGCAGCCTTGGACCTGAGAGTTTGGCCCCTTGCAGAGTGGCCTGCAGATGGCGCCCCAGTCCCTTACCTCTGGTCCCAAAGTAGGCGGAGGCAGAGCTGGAGCCCAGGGCATTGGAGGCAGAGCATACATACTCCCCCTGGTCGCTGGGCCGCAGCTCCTCCACCTCCATCCTCAGCGCGTTGGGCGAGGCCAAGATGCGGAGATACCCCTGGGCAGGGGGACTCCGCAGCTGGCTGGAGGCCACCAGTTGGCTGCCGAGGTGGAGGGTCAGGCTGGCGGGGGGCTCGCTGTCCACTCGGCAGTCCAGGATGCCCTGGAGGCCACCCTCGGGCTCCACGAAGACCGTCAAGGTGGGCGTGGTGGGAGGGTCTGCAGGGAGGAAGCGAGACCTCGACTTCCTGCCCCTCTGGCCCCAAGCACAGCGATTTTTCTCAGTCCTCAGCTACCAGGCAGAGACTGTTTCCTCACTCCTTGAGTCTGTGACCGCTGTGACCAATTGGGGGGTAGAAAAAGTGACCTCCAGAGGCCCCACAGCATCTGCTCGCTTCTGGGCACATGGGGCATGAGCAGCCGCCTCAGCTGAGCCCCAGTCCCTGGCAGTCGCTGGAGTGAGACCCATGAGGGTACTCACTGCCTGGCTGTGCCCAGAGCGGACCTCTCGCCTGCAGTACTGTGAGCTGTTGTTTGAGCACAGAGGTTTTTTTGGGGGGCACTTTTTATGGAGCCATAGCGGACAGATACAGAGTGGTCCCTGGTGAGGAAGGAAGCAGGCGGGAGCCCATGAGGGCCCTATCATGCGGCATGCGCTCAGCCTGCTTTATCTCCCATGCTCTTCACGGGAGGGGGGCCCATGTGTGCCCCACTTTCCAGGTGGGAAAACCAAGGCACAAATGCACAGGGCCACACGACAGTTGGTGGGAGAGCCAACTCTGGGATTCCAGGCCAGCACTCCACGCCTGCGGAGCCCTGCTCTCTGCAGACAGCGGGGCAGGGAGAGCTGGGGTGGCCCTGTGAGATGTGGGGAGCTGGGGCCGGGGCAGGTTCCACACTCACAGAGCACGTGGAGCATGACTGGAGCAGAGGCTGCAGTCCCCGTGGGGAGTTCTGCCCGGCAGTGGTACAGGCCAGCCTGGGCCCGGGCCACGTGGCTGAAGGTGAGCGTGGGCAGGGGCTCCACCTGGAGGGGCCGGCCATTCCAGAACCATGTGAAGGTGGAGTTGCCCACAGGCCTGGGGCCACCAGGGAGGTGGCAGCTCAGATTCAGTGCTGCGCCCTCAGGCATCTCCAGGCCTGGTTCAGCCACCACACG